CGCTACTCCTCCTACAGTTTTGGTCTGATTTCAATATAACTTGGCACACAAGTAGACTACACTAAGATACATAATTTAGTGCATCAATTTTTGATTTCGATGGACGGTGTTGCCATGGTTACTAAAAATAGAAATTTCTGTGAAATTCCTTTAAAACGCTACTCCTCCTACAGTTTTGGTCTGATTTCAATATAACTTGGCACACAAGTAGACTACACTAAGATACATAATTTAGTGCATCAATTTTTGATTTCGATGGACGGTGTTGCCATGGTTACTAAAAATAGAAATTTCTGTGAAATTCCTTTAAAACGCTACTTCTCCTACAGTTTTGGTCCGATTTCAATATAACTTGGCTTACAAGTAGACAACACTAAGATACATAATTAAGTGCATCGGGTTTTGATTTCGATGGACAGTGTTGCCATGGTTACTAAAAATAGAAATTTCTGTGAAATTCCTTTAAAACGCTACTCCTCCAACAGTTTTGGTCCGATTTCAATAAAACTTGGCACACAAGTAGACTACACTAAGATACATAATTTATTGCATCGGTTTTTGAATTCAATGGACGGTGTTGCCATGGTTACTAAAAATAGAAATTTCTGTGAAATTCCTTTAAAACACTACTCCTGCTACAGTTTTAGTCTGCTTCTAATATGATTAGGCATACAAGAAGACTATACTAAGATACATAATTTTTTGCATTGGTTTTTGAATTCGATGAACAGTGTTGCCATGGTTATTTAAAATAGAAATTTTTGTGAAATTCCCATTAAATGTTACTCCTCCTACAATTTTTGTCTGATTTCAATCTAATTTGGCACACAGTTAGAATACACTCGATACATAATATGTATTTCTGTTTTTTTTATTTGGGTGAATGGTGTTGTCATGGTTACTAAAAATAGAAATTTCCGTGAAATACTTTCAAAACACTATTCCTCCTACAGTTTTCATTTGATTTCAATATAACTTGGCACAGAAGTAGACTACATTAAGATACATAATTCTATTCATTGTTGCATGTTGCAATGTTTCAAATCCAAGTGTACTTTTCTTTTGTTATACAAACAGACCAGTAGAGCTACAGTCTCATCAGAGACTTCTGGTTTTTTATGTGATCGAGCGTAATGTGGGTTCGAGTTTTGACAGCAATAAACCTAGTGATCCTTCTCCGAGACCTCTTTACCGTTCATGGCAGCTCAGTCGGTAGAGCGCTCGCTCCGTGATCGGGAGGTCGTGAGTTCGAATCACGGCCTCGACTGACCTAAGTCGATAAAAAAAATGGGTAGCAACTGTTCCTTCGCAATGCACTCCGCACTTTGAAATGATTGATTGATTGAGTGTATGTTGTTTTACGTCACATTCGAGAATTTATCACTCATATAGAGACGTCACTATATACCGGTGAAGGGCTTCAAATTTTGACCTTTACTCGGCACTCAGGACCATTGAACAGTGAGGAATCTTTATCGTGCCAACGCCTGCCGTGACATGGGACCTCGGTTTTTAAGGTCTCATCCGAAGGACCCACAACTTTCACTTCAAAGTGCCGGGTGCATGGCGAAGGAACAGTTGCTACCCATATTTTATCGACTTAGGTAAGTCGCGGCCGAGATTCGAACTCACGACCTCCCGATCACTGAGCGAGCGCTCTACCGACTGAGCTACCGTGAACGGTCACTTTGAAATGAAAGTTGCGGGTCCTTCGGACGAGACCTAAAAAACCGAGTGCTCGTGGCACGGCAGACGTTGGCACGATAAAAATCCCTAACTGCTCAATGGCCCTGAGTGCCGAGTAAAGGTCAAAATCTGAAGCCCTTTACCGGTATATGGTGACGTCTTAATATGAGTGATAAATTCTCGAATGGGACGTAAAACAACAATAAATCAACCAAGAGCTCTTTACTTTGGAGTTGCGCAAAGAAATAGAATTGCAAAGAAGCCAACTTAATGATGCTTCATTTGTCGGTGATAGGGACAATTTACACGGCCTAAACATCATATTACATGTAGTTATGATTAAGTTTTACAGGAATTCAGTGAATTCTCGTGTCTCGGAAGTTAGATTGTAAAAGGAAGGCACAGAAATTGTTGTCTCTGAACTTCAAATTTTCCCTATGGCTTCCGCTCTGACTCCCCCGCACGTCACAATATGAAAGCGCGGGTTAAAGTCAAAGGAATCTCGGATTTCATAGTGTATACAGGTTTTTTTTTGCCCCGTGTTATTTTCGCCCTTTCACACTTGCAAATAAAATTGCCTCCTTTTAAATTCACCCAATCACAGTTCTGTTAAAGAAATTATACTGTGTTTCTTGAATTCACTCCCATTTTAAATTCGCCCACATGTGGGTAGGGCGAAAGGGCTGAAAAAAAAGGGGCGAAAATTTCCCTGTATACAGTATCTATATGAGTGAAAAATTCTTGAATGGGATGAAATATGGAGATAACGAACAGTATTCAAGCTCAAAGTCCAATTAGACTATACAAATGGGGAGCAGAGCAAACACGGACCTCAAAAAAACATCAGAGATGGGATCAGGTACCCTGGAGGAGTGGGCATTCCCTGCCGACCGGTCACACACCCGTTGAAAAGTCGTACGTTTTGGTGTTATTGATTTTGTTAAGATTTGATGATTTCAAATTTTCTGAAAGTTCCTTGGGGTTTTAAGGTATCCACATCTGATTTACACCACCTTGAATATACTGATGTACAGTACTCCTGAAGTTTCTCCTTCACTGCTGTAAATATTTTAGTGAGGAGTTAAGAAAGAGGCTTGGTAGAACATTTACTTGAACCCGTTATGTTTCGTTGTTTATAAGGATTTTTATGGAGTTTTGGAATCCAGTATAGGTATGATAATTCAAATTCTTTTTGATGTTGGGAATATTAAATATATTTAAATCTAACAAATGAGTTTTGACGAATTTCCTCCTTAGAAAGCTATGCGTATAAGCTGGATTACCACTTGCAGAATTAAATCCTAGTTCCTCTATAATACATTCAAATAATGAGCCTTATAAGTGGGGACCAATGTATACTGATCGTGGAAAGTAATTTTGTTTCACTTCTGCATTGTCGATGATTTGAAGGATAGATGGTTTTCATATTGCCCTCAATCGCTAAATGCGCGGTTTCAACATCCATCTGATACATTTAATCCATTCTGACTAAGTGTCAAGGTCTTCTTTTTCATATTTAGCTCATCGTCTGGCGTAATCTTCTACTGAATTCATAATAGTCATGAAATTATGACGACATTGAAAGATCGGGGTTCCCTAAATTTTGACTGTCAAGGTCTTCTTTCTCATATTTAGCCTATCGTCTGGCGTAATCTTCTACTAAACTCATAGTATTTATGAAATTATGACGATAATGAAAGATCGGGGTTCCTTAAACTTTGGCCCTCTAATAATAAGTGATTGAAGGTCCCAGGTATTAACTATATTTATGTCACCAGTAATGACGTGTCCAACAGGACCATAATTGTAGGTTGAAGAAGAACATGTACACGTTGGGGATTATGTTTCAGATGCTCGATATCTAGGCACTGTAGAGTTTTTTACTTTATACTTAAAACGTGTGGAACCAATTCTCGATATATAATTGAAAGATGTACAAGGTGTGGATTTCAACTTAAAATACGATGGAATACAAGACTGGGCCTTGGATATTACTTATATAAACTGCGTCAATTCCTTTGATGGTATATTGAAGTCTAAGGAACAAAGAGTTTTTTGAGCGGTATTTCTTCCGCGAAACGTAGCGGTTTAAAGAGCCTAATAGATGATTTGCAATATCCATTATCACAGATCCGAGCCAAAAGGCGGATCAAGCGCCGGGTGTGCCCCCCCCCCCCCGTTTGAATTTTTTTTGTGTGGATATTTTGTTTGTATTATCCTAAAATCAAGGGAAAAACACCTCTTATTTGTTAGAATTCTTCAGTATCCCTGAACCCCCATCAGGGCTTTGTCCTGGAACCGCTAGGGGCTTCGATGCAGCCCTCAGATCCCCGCCTTCTACTGCACCCCCGTTATGAAATTCCTGGATCCGCCACTGGAGCCTGTATTCTGGTGTTGAAGAATCCAAATATGAACTTTCCTTGACTCTTACAAATAGACTATTCAAAATTTCAAAAGGATAGTTTAAAGTTTCGTGCGAATGTAATGAAGGCCTGTTTATTTACATTACGTGGAAATGAATCAAAGGAGACATCGTGCATACATGTAATAGGTTTATTGTAAGACCGATCTCAATGACTACGCTTACGTCTCAACGTAAAACAACAATGCTTTAATCATTCAATCCTGACTTTGATTTATTGTCTAAATAAAGATTAAGAAATGGTAAAAAAAAAAAGAAAAAAAAAGAAATCTGAGAATAGACTTTAATATACCGCTTCTCGTCTATTGGGATTCTACATTCAATATACACGTAAAAAAATCTTTGCGATCACCACAAACATGGATTCAATGGCGCTTAAATTCGATTGCACTATTAATTATATTAATGTCTGTCCTTGTGCGCTTGCGTGACACACGATTCCCTACTTCACTACGTGATTAAATACATGAGGCCGAGGGGGACTCACAATCCATTGAAACTTTTTATTCTAATTATTCAATTTAAATGACAGTCTTTCTTATATTTTTTAAACATCAAATAAGTTTATTTGAAGTATTTATCAGCATTTTTTGCATTTATGGTATATGTCTATTTTATTTCCATTTCCGCACCCCTTATATTTTCCCTTAATCCGAGGTTAAACCATGGGTTCTTGAGTATAATTTACGTATGTGTGCACCTCAAAACACTTAAAAGTTTATGGTATATCTTTTACATAACAACTGTCATAGTTGTTGAAGTGCTGTCTGGCAAGTTTACAGATGAATTATATTTAAATTTTCTTTTGTATCTTTCATAAGAATGCGGAAGTAATTTATTGAAGAGAAAAGGGAGGTAATTTTTACATTTTTCAAAGCACTTTCGGTTTGCAATGGAGTCAGAAGAATTCTCAAACGAAACAGCGGAATATGAGAGAAAGATAACACGGGCAGTTATCGAAGGTGATGTTGAAAAACTCAGAGAGTTATGCAATACTTTACCCAAGGGATTCAATGTTAATTTCATGATCAAGTGTTTGAACACAACAGTACTTATGAACGCAGTGATAATGAACGATTATCCTTCGGCAGAAATTCTTTGTATTCACGGAGCTGATGTTAATCTAGGTACTTATAACTCGTACAAAGCAATTCATTGGGTATGTGAAAAACAAAACAACCCTAAAATGTTACATCTTCTGATTAATCATGGAGCAAATATAAATGAAAATTGGCTCCACGGACAAAGGGCTATTCACCTGGCCCTGAAACACTCGCGAACAGAAAATGCTGAAGTTTTACTAGATGCAGGAGCTGATATTTCTGGATACATACAACTTGATAATGAGCGGTGTTCGAAAATATCGACACTTTGTCTGGCTGCAATAAAATGTCCTGACCTTGTACCCAAGTTTTTGAAGCAAGGGGCTAATCCAAATGAGGTTCATTCTACGAGTGGTTCTTCTGTGCTTGGACATGTGTTAGAAAACGACGGAGATAAAGAAGCGGTGAAATCTCTTATACAGGCCGGAGCTTGCATCACCAAGGGCTCTAGAGGAAAGACAGCTATCCAGTGTTGTAAAAATCTAGGCAAGTGATATATCTACACTCCATATACTGAAGAGGAAAAAGAAACGCAGGGTTAATGTTATAGGAGAAAAGATGTTATTTTTTCAGAGCAGTTTCAGGTTTTTTTTTCAGTTTTAATGGCAGTTTCAGAGAGCGATTTAACAGGTGGCAGGATGAATAGCACGATATATTGACGTGGCGCTGTTACGCGTCAACGTCACGGTTGGTTGGAAATCTCTCTTAGGCCCCCTCTGACGACGGGTAAGACGTTCTATGGTTGAACATCGTCTGTAAACATTGAAAAACGATGCGTGTACCTCAAGTGCATCAAATGGTATTACGAGATGTGTTGATAAACCTATCGTCATCGATATGCACGTTTTTTCAGCTTTTTACCATTTTCCCTACGTGACATCATATGTATTTCGCGGTTGAGTAATTCTGAACAATGATTTTAGTGCACAAAAATAAAGATACCCCTCTGAGCAGTTTTCGGAATTTTCGAATATGCGGTCAAAAGATTTTCGCATGTTATGTTACCCTGCGTTTGTTTTTCCTTGCTGTATATAACAGTAAAACATGGCTACACCTCTAGTCATTTTAACAAAAAAATGCTTTCTTTGGTTGTTAGTACGGGAATTTAGCTGTTACAGAAAAAAATACATAATCTGCTTACATGTAAGGCAATGTATTTTTTTCTGCAATAACTGCAACGTTAATTCCCGTACTAACAAGCTAAGAAAAATATTTTGTTTATATTGATCTATAAATTAGTAATTTTTGCAAAAAAAAAAAAAAAACTCCGATACGCCTGCACCAGAGTTCACATTTACTCCTCTAAGAATACACTAGATCTGAGGTAATGTCCGTAAACTATATTTAAAGTTCATTCGCAAAGTAATTATCGTAAATTTAATTAAAATTGTACTTTCATTTTCAATTAACAGCCCTGAAATAGCAAAAAAGAGAGAACGGTGGTGGCTCCGGTTCCTTTGTATAACTATGATCCCCTGTTATGGCCCCTCTATTCTCCCGGGGGGTCATAATTTGAACAAATTTTAATCTACATTAACTAGGGATACTTTATATTACCATGACCAATCATGACTTGGCTGCTCTTGAGAATTTTTGAGATTTTTCCAATGTATTCCTATGTAAAACTTCGATCATGGCCCCACCCTACCCCCCGAGGGTCATGAATTGAACAAATTTGAATCTTCACTACCTGAAGATGCTTGCATATAAATATGACCAAACATGGCTTTGCTGTTCTTCAGAAGAAGATTTTTAAAGATTTTTCCTATGTAAAACTTTGATCGCCTATTGTGGTCCCATCCTACCCCCGGGGGTCATGATTTGAACAAACTTGAATCTACACTACCTCATAATGATTCCAAATAAGTTTCATATTTTCAAGCACAATGGTTCTTGAGAAGATTTTTAAATGATGCAATTAATTTTTCAAGAATTCATAATTATATGGTTTATATCCCTTTGGAAGAAGGCGTGGCCCTTCATTTGAACAAACTTGAATCCCTTTACCCAAGGATAATTTGTGGCAAGTTTGGTTGAAATTGGCCCCGTGTTTCTTGAGGAGGATGAAATATGAAAAGTATACGACAATGACTACGCCAACGACGACAGACAACGGACAGATTTTGATCAGAAAAGCTTACTTGAGCCTTCGGCTCAGGTAAACTAAAGGGGGGGGGGGAGGGGGGCGTACATGTATATCTACTTCTGCTCCGAAACTATGTAATTTTGATCAAAGTATTTCTTCCTGCTATATTCTGTAACTAACTGTCAGTAGAAACTATTATATATTACTGGAATTGTTCTGTGAGAAGTGGTAAGAATTTAAATCCTCGCGCTTGCGCGGGATTTCATCTAGTATCTGTATAAAGTCATAAAAAGTAAAAATTCAGTTCTTTAAATATGTATCATTAATATGTATGTCATTGTATATTTCTTTGATGGAAGAATCGCTGCTCAAGAAATCTATACAGGTAGTTTACTTAGCGATGTTTACTGATCAATAAACGACGGAGGTTTTTATACAAAATAAAAGGGATAATATTCAGTGGATGTAAATATTTTATTTGAGGGCAAATAAAGTCCCAAACCCAAACTTCAGTTGCTTCTTTAATGAATATTATTGATTTGTATAATTCTAATGAATAGATCATTACATTTTTCAAAAAAAATCAGGATTTAAACGAATAAGCCGTTATGGCGCGGATCCAGAAATTTTAAAAAGGGGGATGTTGTTTGGCATTATGTACACATGTACATTAAATTTACAAGCCACAGCGGTGGGCTTTGATAGAAATGCTATCGATAAAGAAAACATTCACTGCGGAAAGAAACTGATATGCTATTGTGCAACTCTAATTCCTAAAAACGGAATATATGCAATTGCATATATACATATGCATTATTTCAAAATTAAGGATTATCTCCCTCAGTCATACCTCTGGGACCCGTTTTATAAAAGAACTTACGACTAAGACCAAAAACTTAAGTTGATTGTAAAATTTTGCAAAATTATTGATTCTGTTTAAAATTGCTAGCGTACTTCATTCCTTTTAAAAATATTAAAACCACTTTCAATATAATGTAAATTAAAAAGTTATAAACAGAATTAAATTTTGGTCTTAGTCGTAAGTTCTTTTGTAAAACAGACCCCAGATTCTTCGACGTATTTGGCTCCAGTCTTTGGCACACCCCTTTTTTCAACTCTTCAAAGTTTTTTTTTTAATATTTTGGATTTCCAACATTTCGGCATGTGCATCACTGAAGAGACATAATTTGTCGAAATTCGCATCTGATGCATCAAAATCGGTACCGTATATTGTTTACCTTATGACCTCTTGGTCGAGGTCTCTTCTGGTGGACTGTTAGTTCCCGATGGTCTCTACAGCCCAGTATCTTAGTCTTAGGTATGAGCTTGAAAATACGGATATATATTTAATTGCAGTGGTAAAAATTTAGAAATTTATTCCAAAATTAAGGATTATCTCCCTCAGGCATACCTCTGATCCTTCGACGTATTTGGCTGCAGTCTTTGGCACACCTCTTTTTTAAGCTCTTCGATGTTTTTTTTTTAATATATTGAATTTCCAACGTTTCGGCATGAGCATCACTGAAGAGACATAATTTGTTGAAATGCGCATCTGGTGCATCAAAATTGGTACCGTATATTATTTACATCCTTGATCAATTCATAGGGCTCATGGCGAGTGTGACCAGTCAACAGGGGATGCTTACTCCTCCTAGGCAGCTGATCTTTCCTCTGGAATTACCAGGGGTCCGTGTTTTATGCCCTCTCCACATATTTGTTTTGTTAATAGAATTTTTTTTTAGATCAATCACTGTTCTTCACCTTTTACATAGCAACTGGAAATAGTTAAACAATCTTAGAAATGCCCTGAAAACAACTTTTTCAAAAATACATGTCAATTTTATCTAATATTTTAGGACAAATATTTGCATTTCTTGAGAGTGGAATTCCAGTGTCGGATTTTGAAAACCAGTTAAAGGATTCACTTATAACCATGGCTATCTCGGAAGATTTTTGTGAAACCAGAGTTTATGAAAACACAATCAAGCTAATATCATTCGGAGCTAACCCTAATGGTACCGCAACATTCAAAGACTCTGCACTTATCCTTTCGATCAAGAAACATTTTTGGGAAATAGTCGATATAATAATTGCTCAAGGGGCGGATCTAAACCACAGAGGAGAAGATGGAAATACAGCTCTACATGTCTGTTGCCAAAATGGTAGGTACCAATCTGGTAATAATGTATAGAATTTTTACGGCATAAAATGCCTTATATGTGTTCTTTTTAAAGTCACCAGGGTTACTGACGGGCAACATTGATCAAAATATTACCGGGGAAAATAAGTCTAACACTTTCCGACAACAATGAAACATGAAAATGCTAACGATGGAATAGCAATAGGGCGAATTCTGGAAATCCAAAAAAATACACTACAATCCGAAACCTAGGACTTGTCTTATTAACAGTATAAATAATACAATTTAGCAATGACAATTTAGCACAATTCTGAGCTTGAGGGACAGATGGCATAAAATAACTCGTGACATGTTAAGTAAAATCAATTGATTTTAAAAATTGACACATTTTCACATAGTAATTAGCATAATTAAAGTCTTTCATGATGTTTAAAGAAATTACAGTTGTTTAAATTTTAAAGTAAATTTCTAAGACAGCTAAAACGTGTCACTAAATTTGATTATGTGCCAAAAATTACACCGTAGAAGTGTGTTTTATCCTTTATTCTTTCCTTCTTACTCCTAGATGAAGTAGGCAAACTGAATGACTGCTCAGTGCATGAAATGCTAGATTTAAAAATGTAGAATTTTTCACCCACTCGTTGAAGTTATGTCCAAGACACGATGTAGTTACGATATCGACATCGAATTCGTTCTTGGACATGTATGCCTTGTTGAACTGAGGCCTTCGGATGGGCAAGATTGGAAGTATTTTTTTTAAATACACATGCATAATAAAATATGAATTAGATATTGTATCGTAATGTACACACACTGTTGTCACTTTGATGATAAGAAATTTGCAGGAATACACGTGTGCATATATTTCTTTGAATATGTGTTAACCATATCTACATTTGTCATACATTTAGCTAAAAACCGTAATGTTAAGAGTTTAATCGCCAACGGTAAACAAACAATTAACATAAGTGACCTTGCTTTAATAAGCTTTAATAAGCTATATAGCATTACTATACTGAAAATAAATATATCTTGGTTGCCATGGTAAAACAGGATAGTCACACACAGTTTTGTGGTTTAGTTTTTATTAATACTAATTCTTAAGGAAAGAATGAGAATATATTTCTTCACGGCCTTGAAACGCAGATAAAATTACAGCATGAGAAGGTATTGCAACATTCAAATAAGTAATTCGAGACAGAAATGTTGAATCTCAGCCAATCAGATAGCGATTTGTGTCCAGTTAGTGTATGGTGGCGAAGAAGTGTGCATAGATATCAATTTAAAGAGTTGGAATTTAAACACTAGTAATCATCCAAAGAAATTGAATACTTTTACAATTATTAACATGTTTTCTCTGTACAGGTAATTAATATTGCAACACTCTATTCTTAGATTTAGTTTTATAAAAAGAACTTTATAAAAAAGCTCAAAAGTCCACTGAAACTATACAAATTGGGCGCAGAGCAAACAAGGACCTCTAAAAACATCAGAAGTGGGATCAGGTGCCATGGAGGAGTATAGCTTCCCCTGTGGATCGTACACACCGTGTGTTCCTTGTCATGATCGGGAAAGCGTAAGAATCCGTGGACAATTCAATATGTAAATATTGGCCCAACAAACTGTATTAAAAACATCAGTCATTCGACCCAAGATGTGTCACTCGTGAAATTAGTTATATCAAGGATTTTTTGAAAAGTATTATTTAGATAAGTATTCATAGAGTATGACTCAAAATTGCAAAGACAGTGGGGGCCAGTGTGCATCTTACTGAGCTACGGTACAATTAAGTTTTTGCACTTAAATTGTAACTCAAGTTAATCACTTTAATCTTTTATTTTATCAGATGTATTTTTGGCAATAAATATAATCTTATTTTAACTAAAATAGTTTGAATAATATTTATCATTGAACAAACCGTGCAAATTAATGCGCAAAAATTATTGTGTGACCAATTTGCACTAAAAAAGTATCATATTTGGGGAATAAAAATTTAAATAGGCAACAAATTTTCTTGTATCAAGCTTTTTACGACTTACGTGCTGATCGGTTGGAAGTATCGTGCTGTTTCAAATAATGAAAGAAAAAAAAGCTGGGGTGTGTGATGTAAATTTTGAGATTTTATGAGAAATCATTCCCTAAGTAGAAAAATGTGGGCCTAAAGTTCCAAGATATTAAATCTAACAAATTCGTAGATTTGAAGAATTTTCTTCTAAATATTTTTCCACCACAAAAAATAGTCCCTCATAAATCTTGCTTCTGTGAGCAGTTTTTTAATTGAATGTTGAATAATTTGCATTGTTTGATTTAAAAATTCATAAAAATTGAATTGTAATAAATAGTTTTGAAATTAAAGGTTCTGACTGAACTTTTTTTTAAAAAGCTGACGAGTGACATACCTTAATGATAGACTGTAATGATAGACTATTTGCCGACAAGGTCACTGTATCCACCATCGAACCTGCTGACGTTAACCGAGACTGTTGATATGCTTGTTTCATCAACTTGTTTGTCAATAGCTTGCTTCATTTTAGAAATTATTCGCACCTATAGCACCGAATCAACTTACACATACTGAGATGAAATTTGGTATACACATTTATCATATTAAGAATATCTATGTCAAGTTCTGTTTTGGGTACGATCGAGCAATTTTTGACAGAAGTTGCTTTGCTGCTGTCTGTCGGTCGGTCTGTCTGTCGGTCCACTAACAGTTTCCGTTCATTTTCTTCGCAGAGGTTACACATACTGAAATGAAATTTATTATATATTTAGGGATACAGACTTCAAAACTTAACTTCGGATGTTTGATCTAGAAATATTGTATTTTAAGCTCTCTTGTTTTAGTGTACTTTAAAAATTGAGGTGGAAAATAAATGATTTTAATAGATCGCCTCGGTAGAACCAGTGGGCATTTAGTTTTAAATATTCCGTTGTGGTATGTTACATTGTACTAGCAATCAATTGCAAATATTCTCAAAACTTTCTGGCACACTCGAAAGTCTTTACATCACAAGATATTAAAGTCCTACAAGCTATAATTTGCGTCAGTTAACAATAATGTTGGAAATTTATTTATTATGTTTACCAATTAAAGTTACAAAAATACTGTAAATTATACAATAGGAAACGAACGCGTTATAAAGATATCAAATTATAATTATTTTCCTACTAGGAAAGTAATGCCCCTTTCTAAATTAATGCACCACGTGACACAGTCGCTACTTTAAGACTGATAAACAGAAATGGCGTCAAGAAAACGAGGTAGGCCGTTTGGTATAAAATAACTTTTGACATGAATGGCAAACGTCTAACACTTAAAGATACTGATCTTGTAAAGCACCAGTATTAACCATCTACTCTGTTATGACAGATATTAACCTTTCATCCATAATCGTAGTCAAAATGCTTGTACCTCGTCGTCTTTGATTTCCCGCGGACATGCGTGTCTATATACTTTTTACGCACTTCCTTCATCAATATTCATGAAAAAGACTGAATTTTTACTTGTAGACTTTGCTTGACTGTTTTGTAATTACAATGACTTATTTAGTAAAACTTTTTGGAAAGTATTATTTTTTCATTAAATATCATGTTTCTTTAACCATTTAATCATTTTGTTTCAAACAAAAAATCGGCGTTTATATAACGTATATTTCTTTAAAATTTAATACTAAAGAAATCGCTTCCTATCAATTAAAATATCGGGAGATACATGTAAGAGTTCTCCCCCATTTATTTCAATGTTCATGGAAAGGGTCATGGACATTTGAGTACCACCTTCAAGACTGCTAATCAGAGCTGGCAGGGGAGGCAAGAAAAGATTAAAACAAGATGTGTTTGTGAAACACTGATGCCCCCGTATGGCAGCTTATGGCGAAGGTTAAAGTTTCTTCAAATGCAAATCAAAATCCAGGCCAAAAGATAAAAAATGTTGATACCCAAAGAAAGGTCTTGTCTCGAGGAATACACCTGTGAAATTTGAAAGACCTAGATACAACTGTTCAAAAAGTTATGGCAAAGGTTAAAGTTTTTTAAATAAAAAGCAAACGTCAAGGTCAAAGTGGTTGGTATCCAAAGGAAGATCTTGTCACAAATTTACATATGTGAAGTATGAAAGCCCTAGCACCAACTATTCAAAAGTTATGGCCAAGGTTAAAGTTTTTCAAAAGTAGGTCAAACTCCTAGGTCAAGGTCAAAGTGGTTGGTATCCAAAGGAAGATCTTGTCACAAGGATTACATATGTGAAGTATGAAAGCCCTAGCATCAACCATCAAAAGTTATGGCCAAGGTTAAAGTTTTTCAAAAGTAGGTCAAACTCCTAGGTCAAGGTCAAAAGGTCAAAGTGGTGGTTGGTATCCAAAGGAAGGTCTTGTCACAAGGATAACATATGTGAAGTATGAAAGCCCTAGCTCCAACCATTCAAAAGTTATGGCCAAGGTTAAAGTTTTTCAAAAGTAGGTCAAACTCCTAGCTCAAGGTCAAAGGGTCAAAGTGGTTGATATCCAGAGGAAGGTCTTGTCACAAGGAATACACAAGTGAAGATTGAAACCCTAAGCACCAACTGTTCAAAAGTTATGGCCAAGGTTAAAGTTTTTCAAAAGTAGGTCAAACTCCAAGGTCAAGGCCAAAAGGTCAAAGTGGTTGGTATCCAAAGGAAGGCCTTGTCACAAAAAATACACATGTGAAGTTTGAAACCCCAAGCACCAGCTGTTCAGAAGTTATGGCCAAGGTTAAAGTCTCATAAAATTTTGCAAAAGTGGGTCAAACTCCAAGGTCAGGGTCAAAAGGTCAAATATGATGGTACCCAAAGAAAGGTCTTGTCACAAGGAATACACATGTGAAATATGAAAGTCATAGCTCCCATAAATCAAAAGTTATGGGCAAGGTTAAAGTTGACAACAGAACGGACAAACAGATAAACAGACAGACAGGACAAAAACAATATACCCCCGGAATCTTTCGATCCCGGGGCATAAAAAACATTCGTGAATTTACTGTTAATTCGATACTGACATGGTATCCTTACTGTTAATTGGAGCACGCGTTAGCGCTGGAGAGCGCTAGTCATTAAATGTTTCGTGCTTTATGCTTTAGGACACCTTAGTCTTTGAATAGTTACATACACAATTAAATGTTGCAGCTTCGTCCTTGGATACCTACAAAGTCATGATTGCACAACTGTGTACAGCGGGGGCAGATGTGAACGTGATGAATAATGAAAGATTGACACCTCTGCTTATTCTTATGATGGGAACCTCTAATTCTGAATTTCTTATGAGCAGCAGTCTAGATGCAGACAAAAGCCTTATCAGGTGTCTTTTGAATCACGGTGCTAATGTGAATGTTGTCTTTCCAACCACTTCAGAGTCTACATTGCATTTTGCCAGCATGCAAGGGGACTTTGAAACAGCTAAAATGTTAATTGAAGCTGGGTATGACGTCAACAAATGCGAGACGAATGGAGAAGTGCCGATTTTTGCCTTTTTTCCTTTAGGTATATCTTTTAAAAATGTAACATTTTAATAATTTCATTTTTAATTACAATAAGGCTACTCAAAAACAAATATTGATGCAATGTGAAAAATAAACATATAACAAATATGCAATTAAAATGCATAAAGTGAAATATTATTAATCTTGCATTCATATACAGATTCAACGAAAGAGATAAATGTTGTGAATATGTTCTTGGAAAATGGTGCTTCTGCGAATGCGTTGGATAAAGAAGGAACTTCCCTACTTGAACGTGTTTTTCAACAATTGAAGTTTACTTATTCTTCCTTTTGGGATGAAATGGAACGCAGAGAGGATCTTATACAAGAATTAACATCACTTTTACTACAACTTCTTCTGAATGAAGCTGACCCAAATCGAGTTAAAGCAGGTCAGGACTCTCTCTTATTACAAGCAATACAGACGCCGGATATGGATGATGTCGTGAGTGCTTTAGTTGAGGCCGGGGCAGATGTGTGCCACATTGGTAGAAACAAGATGACAACATTCGAAGCTTGCTGTCTGAATAATGAAACGGGTAACGTAAACAGGAATAGATAGTCAGGTCAAGGGTTGAGATCATTGGGATTGGATTAGCATATAAGGGAACCATTCATCATTCACTGAAGAGTAGAGTTAGACATACTTTTGCATTTAAATAGTGAATAAGATTATTTACTAACATAAGTCTTAACTGAGTTAACAGTTTTGACAAAATTAAAAGTTAAGGATATATATTCTTATATCTAGCTTAATTTCTTTGTAGATTACCTTGATGAGAATCAGCTGGTTATACTTTCGCTTATAATTGAAGCAAATTTTCCTCTAAATGAGCCATTAAGCGATGGGAGATATCCACTTGAATTTATTATGGATTATGCAAATACAGACGCCATTATACAAGATATGCTGTGTAAGGGAGCAGATCCCAACCAATACAAAGAAGGGAGTGAACCACCTTTGGTACTCTCACTGAATCGGAGTCCTTTCCTAAGCTATGCTTTAATAAAAGCTGGGGCAGATACATCTATCAAAAGCATTGAGAACATAAATGTCCTTGCATTGTTTTGTGGTAGGCATACTAATAAGGAGTATATTATTATTTTATACCTATGATCAGTTGCAAATCACATTTAGATTGTGATTTTTTTTTACGAGTTAAAAATTAGTTTTTACTAATATTTTTATTAGCCGCTTAAATAGTTAAATAGATACATGTATGTTCTTTATTCTTGTTTACATAATTAGGTGTGAGAGAGAGAGATTTTAGGTTATGTTATAAAAAGCTTCTGGTAACCATAGTTGTGTCTGCAAAGTTAAGATCAAGACATTGATAGGGTTTTACAGGAAATTATTTCGCTACTTTCAATTATGATTTCAGAAAATGTATTTTATGATGAGCAGTATTGCTGTTTGCGTGAGTAATCTCTTTTTTAATTTCTGTTAGTTCATATTCATCTGTAACACTAAATGGCAATATGGAAGGAGATTGATATGTTTTGTCTTATAAAAATTAATTATTACTGAATTTAAATCGGAATATAAAGAAAATCGTACATGTATTTTTATCTCTATCTTTCGTATGAGGATTAAGAGCTATTGTTGAGAAGAATTATGTCAAAAACCTAGAAATTTACAATTTCATCAGCAAATTCGCAATCTACACGACTCATTATTGATCATTTCGAGTTTGCTAAATGCAAAATGGAGAGAGAGCAGGAGGATAATTTAGCTGAGGACATTACAAGACGTTTTCCGATGGAACCGACTCTGGGAGAAACGGAGCAGATGTCGGGCAAGGAAAAGGTATTCCCCTTTATAGTCACATCGACCTATTCCGAAGATTTCAGATATTCTTATTTTTGGATTAACAATTTTTAACATTACCTAATAAAGGAGTTCGTCACATGCGTGGCGCAGTGATTAGAGCGTTTGCTCTTGAGTAAGGAGTTGGTCCTTACGTCGCGGGCTCGAATCCCATTGCAGGACAAGGAGACCGGTTTTTCAGATGAGACCATATAAACCGAGGTCCCGTGTCGCAGTAGGTGCTGGCACGAAAAGATCCCTCAATAGCCCTGAGTGCCGAGAATAGGTCTAAAATTTCAGTCCTCCACTGGCAAGTGGTTGTGTATATAAATGAAGAATTCTTGGAAGGGACGTTAAACAAACAAACAATTAAGGAGTTCTTCTAAATTTAGGTCAAGTTATAAACACTGAAAGGTTCGAGAAATTTATTTGTGGTTTATAAAGGATATCTGTTTACTTTGCTTTTAATATGGTCTTTTTCGAATCTACAAAGAAATGTACATAATCTATGAAATAAAGAAATAATATTTGTAATAATGCAGGTCAATTAAAAAGTGGAATAGTATCATAAGGAAAATAAAACCCTTCGTGTAAATGATAAATACATAAGTATTTTGTCCGCAATTTATAGATTTATGATTTTTACTATGCCTAGAACTTTACATCTTTTCTTTTACAGATTTTAAAGAAGAGCAGTTCTGGGAAATTGGTTGAACAGCAAAGAAAATGTACATGTGAATCAAAGTATTTCTGTTCATAAACTAAAGATTAACATATAGAAATTTTCATGTTATTGGCTAAATTATAAAGTTTAAATGAAGCAGATATATATATATATATATATTATATACACCTATTTACTGGCTATGAGGACAATAGCAAGTTTATCGTCCCCCTCGACAGCAACTATTTCCCGAGGCGCAGCCGAGAGAAATAGTTGCTATCGAGGGGGACGATAAACTTGCTATTGTCCGAATAGTCGGTAAATAGGTGTTTTATTATACCGAAGCTGACTTTACTTGTGTCACGTCACAATCTGGATAAAACCAGAAGAGCTCCGAAATGAAAAGCAAGTGAAACGGAATGCTGCCGGTGATATAGTTTGATGACTATTTCACCATGGGCTAATAGCACAAAAACTATTCCACGGTTTAAAAAAAGTAGCAGGTTTATTCGTCATATTTTTATATAGAAAAAATTCACAGAGGTATAATATCTGAACAAAAAATTAACTAAGTAAACTAGTGTTATTCAAGTATTTCCTTAGTATAAACTGAGTATTTACACTTTGTTTTCATTAATATTGTAGGTAAATCTTTTCAATCAGTACCCAAAGTGAGAAAGTAAGTTTAAAGGAAAACACAATATTCTCAAAATATATATTCTGTCTCTATAATCGATTATTCAGGGGCATATAGTTTTTGGTCTGTTCTTCATACTGTCTGTTCGCAAAAAATTACATTGAATAAAAAATTTTGTTTGAGCTAAGACTTTCATGCTTTACAGGAGTATTTCTTGTAACAAGACATTTCTTTGGTTATCAACACATTTGGCTTCTTGACTTTGCCCTTTGATTTCGATCATCTTTTGAGAAACGATTATCTTGGTCATATCATCTGAGCGTTGGACTAGGTCTTTTAAATCGCGTGTGTATTACTTGCAACAAGAGCTTCATTTGGGTACCAACCTTTTTTTTACCTTTTTACTTTACCCTGGAGTTTGATCTAATTTTAAAAATTTTAATCTTGGTCATTACTTTGAAATAGTTAAATCTAGAGTTTTTATATTTTAATTGTGTATTACCTGTGGGAAGAACAAGATTTTTACTTTGATTTTCAAGTCTAACATACTTTTGAAAAACAATAGCTTGGTTATCAAATTTGAATTGTTGGTGCTAGGGCTTCATAAACAGAGGTATGATCCTTGTGAAAAGACCTTCCCTTGTGTATCAAACTTTTTTACCTCATAACCTTGACCCTTGAGTTTAACCTACTTTTGAAAATCTTTTACCTTGCTATTTTCTGATGGTTGGTCAAAAGCTTTTTTATTTTATATGAATTTTCCTGATATCAAGACATTCTTTATACCAACATATTTGACCACTTGACCTTGACTTTGGACCTATGAGAAACTTTAAACTTGACAATGAGCTGTCATACGGAGGTATCGTTGTTTCACAAACACATCTCGTTTTACAATACAAATTCTTTATTGGCTTTACTATCCATGGCATGTAAAACGAGATGTGTTTGAGCAATTCTTTGCAATTGTGTTGATTCGTACTTTTATCGTAAACTCAAATCTTTATAGCATATACCGGGTAAATGGCAACAAGGTAGAGTGTTTCTTTTTTCTTTTTTGGTCTTTATCAAGTCTAAGGAATGATTCAAAGAAGCTGAAAATTTCAAATTTTTAGAACTTTTTCTTTTGTTACCATGGGAATCAAGATACATAGCATAAAGTTTTATTTGATTTATGTTTCTGGTGTCAATTTGTAATAATGGGCAAAGTCTCATTAAAATCGGCAACCATATGTGCCAAAATTTTAGAGTGGTTAACTGATTACAGAGAATAATACTGAATAATGAAAGATTAACTTCAGGTCCATGAAATTAAATATCAAGAACTTAGAAATATGATTGCATTTGATAGAGAGATTTGTCTTCTTTTGTAGGCATCACAGAGATAAGATCGAAACTGGTAATATTTTTCTTTGGTTTTTAAGACTATTTCATTGAAAGAAATGAATCCCCTGGAATGTTCATTAGCTTTTTGTAGTACTTTAAATATTTCGTATTGGTGGCAGAGGTCCTGATTTTCCCAATTAACATTATCTGTATTGTCTTTGAAGACTAAATCTTCTAAAAATCCATAGAATTTCCCCTAGGTATTATTTATTTTTATAAAGCAGAAATAGATTTTTTAAAAAAATAATTAAAACATGAAAATAAAGTTCTTGCTGTGGCCTTTCAGTTATATCAACGACGTTTTAAGGATGTCCACTCCTCAGCCAGGAAGGATATCTCATACAATTATTGTTTAAAAAATAAGATTGAAATTGAAATCTTTTTGTGCAACAATTTTCATTACATACATCTCAATATGATTCAAAATTCTTTGAAGTCTTAGAAAGAATATACATGTATTTAAAATTTGAAATTCGTACCCCATCAAGTATTAAAATTTTATTTTAGAGAAATCCTTTATCTTTTTTATAGCCTTAGATAACACTGTTTACTATGTATTTATAACAATTGCAGTAAATAGAGATAAAGTGTGGTATAAGTGTGAAAAACATAAATTTGTCTCCAAGTTCCTGGATACCTATAATTTTTAATCGAAAATATTCTTGTTGATCAATTTTCAATTGGAAAATTTATAATCATGGTTGCTGCTATTGAGAGATTTTTACAAAATGAGCATAATTTTTCAGCAAAGTTTTTTTAAATTTTAAATCAGGCAGGGAGTATTCCGACTATTAAAGACAGTTTTTTGGTAACCCATATGTTCTACCGTAACACTGAAAAAAGAGCAAGGGCCATTTAGGGCTTTTTTTGGCCCCATTAATTTCTGAAAAATTAAAACTGCCTAGTTTTAGTCGACAAGGCAACAAATATCACTTGAACACTTGATGACTGAATTTCTACTAAAATTGACGTAATTTTCATGCTAGTAAAGGCATTATGACGTTATGAATTGCGTCATTATTCATATATCCCGAATATTTCTTCAAAAATGGCCAAAATATAGTGCCATTTAAGGAATTTTTAAGTTTTGTGTGAGTTATTGGTGTGTAAATTACACAGACTTGTAACGTAGGCAAAAATATGCCTACGTGCAAGTCTGTGTGATTTACACACCAATAATTCACACTAAACTTAAAAACATTCCTTATATTTACATTTTACATGTTTAAATGCACCAAAAATATACTCAATGTTTGAATTTCTCGCTGCCCTATATCTTCATATTTTTATTAACGTCTCTGTAGCTCATTGTGACGTCACTTTAACGCGAGTTTCTCCGTGTATATTTCTACGCGTGAGTATACACAAAAATGGTTTTCAAATCAATTTCACAGTTGGCTTAATAGAAAAACACAGCAAATGTAAATATTTTTCAATATTTCGTATACAGCACAACCTCCGATCCAAAATGTGCAAATATCTTATGAGAGAACTGCTTATTAAGATTATAAAACATACTTTAATTTTTGGATCGAGGGGTGTGCTCATATTTTAATTCTTTGTTGAAGGTTCTAAAATTCAAGAACATTGCAATTTCACACAACCTGTTTTCCAGTACCTGGACTCTTTAGAGGAAACTTTTATATACAAACTGAAAGCGCCAAGTTTCTTCTTTATATTGATGTTGAGAAAGGGACATAATGTGTTAGTGGATAAATTGGTTTATCTACAGGGCCATTTTATGCATAAAGTGAACCTAGCTCTTTACTACTATTTTTATTAGGTGAATCGAACATATGCTGCGAAGTCATCAAGATTTTGATCGAAAGAAACAACGAAAATGTGAATCGCAAAACACCCTGCGGACTTGATCCACTGTGTGTCGCTGTAAAGCTTGGGAGTCATTCGCTAATTGATTTCCTTCTTGAAAAGAAAGCAGACCCAAATTGCATGGATCTAATGAATGAATCTCTACTATTCTTTGCTTTGATTCATGGAAACGAAGACATAGTCAAAAGCCTAATTAAAGCTGGGGCAAACGTTAATCACTGCACAGTACTTCCAGGTAAAATAACCTCTAAATAATGTAATGTTCTCTTTACATTTTGCGAAAACTTACGAAAGGAAAATAGTTCATACATTACATAAAAATGCGTTTCCTGAAGACATAAGGTTTGATTGATGAATATATATGCGACAAATTAAATATTAAAGTTTCTGTGTTTGATGTATATAATGTAGAATAAGATGAGGTCCATTTTCTACACTTTTTAAGAGGAACTCCGAACAGCAAGCTCAGTAGCAAAATATCCTTTTGTTATGAATTAGAGAATAATTAAAAATATTTGTTATGTGTAGAAAAATTATTCACAAAGAGAGTAATAATTGCTTAAAAAATTACAGGAACAAGCTAATTCAGTATTTGTATTCCCCGCTTAAGGAAAAAGAAGAGCATGCGCGGATCTAAGGGGAGGGGGCACTTTTGAGGGGGCAAGCGGGGCCATAGGTAGTTATGGTTAAAAATTTAATTGCAAAAGCTTCTAGAGATATCGCTCGGAAATGAAATTTTTACTCACAAAGAGAATGTATGAATTTATGACCTTGATTTTTGACCTCAAAATCAATAGGGGTCTTCCATAGGTCATAGGAAGTTGTGGTATAAAATTTCATTGCAAAAGGCTTCTCGAGATATCGCGTGGAAACGAAAGTGTTACAGACAGAAAGACGGACGGACAGACAGGCCCAAATTAAAATCCCTCACTTTCAGTGAAATCGGGGGACACATTTTGTCATAAGACAGTAATACCGGTTGCCTCTCAATTCTCTCTCAAAAGATGATTAGGCTAGTGCGTAAAATAAATGAGGACTTCTGGGAACCAGGATTTTGTCTATTTAAAAAACGTCATTCTTCGTCCGATTTGACACCTAGGGTGAAAATTAATATTTCAAAACATTGCACATCTACAGGGCACCACCAATCATCTTCTAAAAGATGATTAGGTCAATATGCAAAATGTAAGAGGAGTTCTGGAGTTCCCCATTTGTCCGTCACAAGAATTTACTCTAGTTGTTACAGTATTCTTTCAACAGCACACATGTCGTGATGTTTTGGGGTTGTAACTTACATAATTATTAAATCTAATTATGTAGTATACTCGTTATGTATACATGTATCTACAAAAAGGTTTATCTGAATACTATTGAAAGTAGCCAAAGAACAAGTACATACTGATCTTTATATTTTATTACTCAGTGTTGCATTTATTAATTACCAAAGAATTGGAATAATATTTCATTAGCTTTAAGTTTCTAGGTCTGAAGAAGTCTGCCATAAATAGATACTAGTGTTCATCATTGATAAAAAGCAATGGATGATTTAATATACATCTACATTAATATACAATAATATACATATTGCAGGTACTGGTGAAAAACAATCGTTGCTAAATAGACTTCTGGATGAGAGTGGAGAGTTTTCTAAGGCAAGCAACTTAGTAAACCTTGTTCAAATTTTGATTGAAAATGGTGCTTCCGTCAATGAATGTGAAGAAGGATCTGATTCACCTTTGATAAAAGCTGTCAGACTTTCGTCATTTGACCTTGTGGATTTGTTACTCCAGCATGGAGCAAATGTTAATCACCATGGAAAGAGCGGATTTACAGCATTACATGAATGTTGTGTCAAGGGTAAACAATACATAGTTTTTAAATTATCCTATAAACTGTTTAGAAAATTGGAAAAAAAATCACTTTATGAATACAGTTGTTCAGAATACATAAAATTTTCGATGCAAGATTTCATCAACTTTAATACTCTAAGTATAAAAAAAAATTCGGCAATAATCTTGAACTTAATGAAAAAATTCTGTCTTGATCTGAATGTCAAATGTTATATGGATATTTAACCAATCTTTCAAGGTAAATTTGAAGTAGAACACCCTAACACAGAAATCTTCAATCTCCTCCTGGGAGCTGGGGCTTCAGTGAACAGCCAGACAGGCAGTGTTGACACGTCAGTGTCTACAGGAATAAATTACGGCTGTTTCAAATTTGTTTCAAATATGGGGAAAAAGCACACTTTTTTCAAATTTGTTTCGAATATGTTTAATAAACGAATCTCTCCGAACACACAGAATAATGAAGGAACTACTTGCTTGATGTTAGTTGTTACTAATTATAGTATCACCAAGAAACTTCTGGATATTGGTGCAGATCCAACAGTTCAAGACCATGAAGGAAACACCGTATTGCATCATTTATGTATGTTTCCTTTCATTGAAATATATATATACAAAATGGCGTTTTATATTATAGATTTATATATAGTGATAACTTATGGTACTAATTACATCAAATTACATAATTACATAGAATTCATTTTTGACTTGTAAGCTATTTAGTATGATTTTAGGTTCAACTACATTAAAAAGAGAAAAGAAAAGAGAAATTCTTGAGCTTCTGCTTAGAAGTAAGACTGATATAAATACTGTAAACCACGAGGGGTGTACTCCTCTAAACAGAATGATAAAGGAAAAGACTACTCTGAATGTGGAAGATGTACAAGACTTACTAATGCAGAAAGCTGATCCAAATGTATGCTTCAAAGGATGCAATTCTCCGTTGATAAATTCACTTTTGAGATGCAAACTGGACGTTGCTTTTTGTTTACTGAAAGCTGGAGGAGACGTACACCATGAAGGAAAATCTGGTTTGACTGCTCTTCATGCCATTTTAAATTTGGAGCTCACTGGCGGTAAATCGGACATTTTTTCTTCAATATTGAATGTAAAAAGTGAAGACAACGAACACTGATCATTCTCATTAATCCAGCAAAACAAAACGAATCATGAGCGGCAAAGGAAGCCTGAAAACATCAGAGATAAATCAGGTGTCTCTCTGTCTAGGAGGAGTAGGCAAATATATACAAGTCATATTAACTTAAAGATAATATAATTTGCCGTTTTACAGGATATTAAGATTTTGTATTTTCGTCTATTAAAAAACTCTTAATGATAAACTATATGAATCTGACAATTAACGAGGCCGAATCTTATTCGAGTGCGCATGACTTTGCGCAGCTTTTTAATTTCATGCAGTCGTAGGTAGGACATTACACCTTTCCTAGTTTATGTGATTTTAATACAAAAGTAACAGTGTCTATAAGGTCAATAAGTCAGAAAATGTGTTTTCAAGATAATAATTAGGAATAAATACTGAAATGGCTCTAACGACGTCACTGTTGTTTTCCGGTTCAGTAAGCAATGCATGACGCTGAAGAATGACGCATTGAGTATTCAAGGCGTCCATGGACAATTTACTTAAAACTGTTGACAGAACATTAAAAGAATTATATCAGCAATTCAGACATTGTTATTTTTTACCAAAATAATTCATCTGCGCCGATATATACACATGTATACCGCAATATAGCAAATTTAGGGGTACTGGGCATTGAAAAAATTTAAACTTTGTAATAATTCCTAGAGCAACCCAGACGGTCAACTTTTTTGAAATTTCACAAATTGGTGACCTTTTACAATATCTTTTATGTATATATTTGAAAAAGAAATAAGACAGAAAGACAAAAAATATGGGGAAAATATAATTTGGCACTTTTCCAACAAATTCCCACAAGTAAAATTTGACAACTTTTGAGATGCCCCCCCCCCCTAAGAAATCGGATGATAAACATCGATTATTTTATCTTAAAACAATTAATATAATAGTAAACATTCACACAAGACAATATATCAAAATATCAAGGGTAGGAATAATTAGACTCGCCCTCGTTAAATTCTTTCAATTGAATATTGAAAACTAGTTTATATTCAAAACTTCAATTTCAGAACGTATTTGGCTCCAGTCTTTGGCACCCCTTATTTAGCTCTTCATTTTTTTTTTATTGAAATATTTCCGATTTCCTATGTTTTGGCATGAGATCACTGAAGAGACATAATTTGTCGAAATGCGCAGCTGGTTCATCAAACTTGCTACCGTATAAGATTTAAACGGTACTTGTGACGTAACAGAAGATGTCATTGGTTAAATTTTATCTAATCAATGTGATTGTTTGCATATTAATAGAAGATTTACGTCAGCTGGCTGCAACTGATGGAGTGATAGAAGAATTTTTTCTTTCTATCATTGACTCCGACCGAAGAACGTTTGAAAAGAAATATTTATTTTAAAAAGTTAACTGAGGAGTGCATATAACTTTTCAGGTTTCAAAAAAGATGATATAAGAAATTTATTCCATGCGTTACAAATATCCAATAAAATAATTTGTCCTAAAACACGTCACACCGGGACTGCGTCCTCACGGTGATTGCAAGGCTCCATAAAAAAATGCAAAACGCCGAGGTAAGCGCAGTAGAGTGTCCTACAGTGCCGTGACAACGCGGCGAGATCTCCACTAAACGCGGTAGGGTCTCCTAGAATGCCAGAGGACAGCGCGCATTTTGGACATGCACAAAGTACACGTGTGAGCGCGGTCTGATCGCCGTAGCAGCGCAGTGAGATCTCCAATATCGCAGTGGGAGCTCCGTAGGCACGCCGTGAAAACGCACATGATCGCAGTGATAGTAGACTTGGCTTCCACGGAGTTGTCATGGAGTCCTTGGCGATGTCAATGCGTTTAAGAACGCATTGTAAACGTTTTGTGAATGCAGCCAGTGCAGTGAGAACGCCGTGAGAGCGAGGTGACGACTCCTAGCACGCCGTGAAAACTCCACGGAAGCGCAGTAGCACGCCGCGAGAACGCCAAATCTTCACATTGTGAAAATTTTACAGAGATTTGTGCAATTTCCCTGGATTCCACGACGATTTTAAAAAATTAACAACGCCGTAATAACTCCATGGGGACGCAGCTTGGTGTGACAGAGCCTTAACAGAATTATTAGTTCTGGACTTGAAGGGCTTTGTATTCTGCTCCAAAACACTGCATTTCCTAATAGACTTTCCGATATCGGCAAAGTATTTGAAAGTCCAGATTTAGCTCTGTCCTTCATCATAAACACTATATAGAAATAATTTTTTCTAATCATTCTCATCTCTTAGTCGACCATAACTGCTCATGGCTGTCAAATCAGAGTTTATTAGAATTATTTCATGGTGTTCAAGCCGGTCCTTCGGATGAGATCGTATAAACCGAGGACCCGTGTTGCAGTAGGTGCTGGCACTAAAAAGATTCCTCACTGCTCAGTGGCCCTGAGTGCCGAGTTAAGGTCAAAATTTGCAGTCCTCCATTGGCAAGTGGTGGCGTTTCCATATAAGTGAAAAATATTAAGCATGATAAATCAAAAAAATGTATAAAAATTTTAGAGAATAATTTTGTCTCACAATTCTTTATATAAGTCTAAAACCTAATTATTGACACTAAAACCTAATTATTGACACTTAAGCGACTGATTGATTGTATTTTGTTTTACGTCCCTCTCGAGAATTTTTCACTCGTATGGAGACGCCACCACTTGCCGGTGGAGAGCTGCAAATTTTGTCCTATACTCGGCACTTACGGCCATTGAGCAGTGAGGGATCTTTTTCGTGCCAGCACCTACTGCGACACGGGACCTCGGTTTATACGGTCTCATCCGAAGGACCGGTCTCCACGTCCCACAGTGGGATTCGAACCCGCGACGTAAGGATCATCTCCTTACTTCGCGACTCTAGAGCAGACGCTCTAACCACTGCGCCACGCGGGCGACCTTAAGCGACTGAATCATCATTGAAATCAGAAGGGGACCGGGGTACTTGATAATAATACATGTACATGTAGTTTGAAATTGTGAAGTGATCTTTCCTAATTACCATTTCTTCTATATATACTTAATTAAAATTGACAAGCTTCGCTATAAATCAGCAGGTTTCCTCGTGATTTAAAATTTCTATTTCATTTTCTGATTAACATCATTACACCATGTAAACCCACATCGTAGTCCGTTTATAATGCATGTATTTATAAATCATTTCTTAAATAAATGTTAAATACCTAAAACAAGTTCATACTTCTATATTTATTGAAAAGCATGTAAGATTTTTTACCCCAGAATTTTCCTTATTATCCCGCATTTGTCATTGATAACTTTATTAAAAGCATGCAGTTTCTCATCTATCACTGAATTGTCGCATATGACGTCACAGCAGTATGGCTGATTGAAATATGCCTATCGCCTTATTTGAATTTCAACTCTAAATTTCTCTTAAAATATGCTTACAACAACCTTTATTTTATTCGGTATTTTAATAAACAAGGTTGTAGATAATATTTTTCATATTTTTATTACGTATTTTTTAAAAACATGGGACAAGTCCTTTAGAGAAGATCGTCATGTAGACGTTTACAGTAATAGAAAATAAAAGAAATAAAATCCCCCTCCTGCCCCAATTTTAAGCACCTTAGGACGAAAATTAAACTTTAAATTTATATGGCCATAAGGCCAAAAGCTGAAAGGTCAATCTTTTTTTTCTTTCTCCATCTACAAAATTATTCCATCTCTTCCAACCTCTTCCAGGCGCGGATTCAGGAATTGGAGTGGGGCTGTCCGCCCCAGTCAGAAAAAAAAATTCCAACCCAGAAATTTCTTGACAAGCGAAAAAAAAGAAAAAAATAAAAAAAAAAAATTTAAAAAAACACCTAAACCTTTTTCCCAACCGCGAAAAACATATTTATTACCAGGAGTCAATGTTTTCGGGGGGATGGTCCAAAGTCATTTTTTATTTGCTTCAGTATATACATTTAATAACTCTGCAAATCCATGGGATCCGGACCCCCCACCCCAACCCCCTTTAGATCCGCGAATGCTCTTCTTCTTTACTTATGCTGGAGACACAAATTCTCTGAATAACATGTAGCTTTTTTACACACTGATTTGACCAAGACTTTCTCCGTTTGTTCGATCATACAAAGGACCACACGGCTGGTGTGGTCGGTCGACAGGGAAACCTAACTTCTCCATGGCACCTGATCCAATCTCTGATGTTTTAAGAGGTATATGTTTGCTCTGCTCCCGATTTGTATTGTTTCAATGAGCTTTTGAACTAGATTACTGTTCGTAATCATCAATGAAATATAAACAATACAAAATTATTATTAGAAAGAAGACTGGTTGATTCTATCTACATTATCATCATAGTAACATAGAAATTTGTCCGTGTATTAAAATAAATTCTAGGATACCATCAATTTTATTAATGTTGCATCGCTCATAGCTTTTTTTCACGGAGAAACTTGAATTCACTATAGCAAACGACTCGTATATTGTAAATTATACAGAATTTTGTAAACAAAGTCGCCTATATATTTGCTAATTAGTTTTTTTTTTTTAAATTCAAGTAAAATTTTAATATATGCATCATTCTGTTATTCAAATATATTTACAAGTTGGTACTAATGCATGGAAAAAAAAATGTATCAATTTAAATGATTTAGAAGGATACATCAAAGAGAGGATAGAGATGATTCAGAAACTTCTTGCAGCTGGTTCTGATGTAAATAAACGAGATTTGGAAGGCAACACAGGATTAAATTTTTGTTTGAAAACATTGTGCAAGGGAAGAAAAGGTATGAAAAGAAAATTAAATGGTTAAGATACATGTTTTAATAATATATTGCCTTGAAAATCTCCTCTTCATTTTATTGCAAGCTTTTGCAGATTTTTATTCGATCAGAATTTTTTTTATGTATGAACGTTACTGATGATGTTAATGAATTGTTTAGGAAGAGGAAAATGTGTTTCAAATCAATTCATTTCTTTGGCGTGTACTACGATTACTTTCTTTATCAAAATGTTAAAAATTCTTTGGACCTAAAATCAATTTAAATGCATCTTGTAGATGAAACAATATATTTATGAATTAAGTTAAATGTCCTTGTCATTCAATTATGAGTGTGCATGGAATAGGATACAAATATAGTGAATCTAAAAAAAAATATGTATCAGCTAGTCCATTAAAGTCCATTATGCATTATCTTTTAGATGAAGTAATGCCAGTAATAAAAGTTCTTTTGGAAGCTGGGGCAGATCCAAACATCAGTGATATCTCTGGCAGACGACCACTGGAAATTATTATTAATACATCATTGAAAGAATGTAGAAATGAAACGGAGATTCAAGAATTGGTTGAAATGCTATTTATTTATGGAGCAAAATGCAACGAACGTAAAAAAGGACAAGATTCTGTTTTACACATGGCTGTATCCAACGGACTTGAAGGCGTTGTGCAGATCTTAGTCACCAGAGGTGCAGATGTAAATCATCAGGGAAAATATCGACAGATTCCACTCCATCGTTATTTCTTGTCAGGTATTTAAAACCAGTCACGTTAAACTAGTGTGAGGCATTCACTTCGTGAACGAAGATCCGGGGTTCGATACCTGTTCGCTGCGCTGCGTCCACCGCAATATGTAAATATGGGAAATGACTGTTTCTGTGAAACTGGTCTTTCGGATGAGACCGAGGTCTTGTGTCTCGTTAGGCGTTGGCAATAAAGAACCCTCACTACTCAATGAGTCCGAATACCAGGGATATTTGTCTTCCAACTTATTCGATACTCAAGACCATGGTCTCAGAACGATCAGTTTTAAAACAGAAGTAGTGTACTTTTAAATAAGTTGATGTTACAGGGATTTCAACAAACTCGTTTAAATTCAGCATTTCGTAAATTCTATGATTATTTCAATGACCCTGTTAACAAGAAATATATGGAAATAACGAACAGTATTCAAGCTCAAAAGTCCATTAAACAATACAAAATATGAGCAGAGAAAACATGGACCTCCAAAACATCAGAGGTGGGATCAGGTGCCATGGAGGGGTGAGCATCCCCTGCCAACCGGTCACACCCGCCGTGTGCTCCTTGTCATGATCGGGAAATAACGGAAAAAATCCGTCGACAATTCAGTGTGTAAATAATGGCCTAGCAATTAGTATGAAAAACGTCAGTCAGCATTTGACTCAATGATAAATTGTATTTGCTGACATTATCAATACGTATGGCTCACGGCGGGTGTGAGCGGACAACAGGGGATGCGTACACCAGCTAGGCACCGTGTTTTGTGCCTTGTTCACGGATTTGTATTGTTTGGGATTTTCTAGGATCATTTAATGCTTATCTTCACCTTCTCATCTGAAGCCCACCGGTATTAGTTGATGTACATGTATATATGTAAACGAAAAATTCTCGAATGGGACGTTAAACAGCACACAAGCAATCGATCAGTCGTTAGGTATTTAGTTTTTAAAGTTTACAGTGTTTTAAATATGACCCAAAGCCAACAAAAAATGTACAATTGTATTATTATGTACAGACTATGATAAACAATCATCGTTTACAGAGTTTTCCAGTTTACCATCACATTTCATTTTTTGAAGAGCAGTAGCAATTCTGCAGCAGATAACAAGCACATTGTGCATATTTAACATATACCTACCAAACTTTTTTTTTTTCAAATGCAACACATCTGTTGTAACTGTATTTAAGGGGACCGACTGGGGTTTTCATTGCGCAGTACTTCGCGCAGCATAGTAAAATAAAGTGTATTTACTCTTTTAAAGCAACTATTTTTACATAATTTATAAAAATTAACAGAATTAGGAAATTTCAGGTTAAAAAATCTAATTACGTTTTTAAACAACTGATTTTTTTAAACGATTTTTCAAATGATGGGAAGTGAGACGTCGAATAGTGTGTTTTTGACGTTATGAATAACCGAAATTCTTTAAGAGGGGTCACTAATTTTATCATAAAATAAAAAGTATTAAATAAATGCTCTTGAGATTTTAAACATAGGAAATTGAGAATCTTGCAATCATTTTTATTATTTTTATATAAATCTGTGGTATATGTAATTTTTTGTAGTACTCAATAATTATTAAGAACAGGAAAAAATCATGAATTTTGAGATGGCCCCTCTTGAATCCAGACGTTAGGGGCGTATTTGATTTGTCAACACTAGTGTCGAGTCGGGTTGATATCGAGCATGCGCACAAAAAAATACAGTCTCTCTATAATCAAACGGCAAGAACGTGACTCGAGTGCACTGAAAATGGACGTTGTTTTTTATTGATGATTTTTTTGAAAGGGAGGAAAAGGATGATATTGGGGAAAACGATGAAGATCTGTTGTTTATTTTCTTCTGCCTACAAACCATGAATAACAGATGTAATGTGGCAAAAATTGGTACATTTGTTGAAGAAATAATACCAAGAATGAATAACAATGAATTTAAGAAGCATTTTCGCTTTTCTAGAGATATCTATAACATTCTTCTGCTTGAATTAGTACCGTCACTTAAATATAGAGAACGTAATATGGGTAGACCTGCCTTACCTCCTGACAAACAACTCCTGATATTCTTGTGGTACATGGCCAACCAAGATTCTATGCGAGAAGATGCATGTTTATTTGGAGTTAGTCCTTTCACAGTTCATAGATGTGTTCGCCGGGTCTCAAAGACGTTGTGTGACAATTTTTTGCGAAAATTCATTATTTGGCCAGATCATGATGCCCAAGAACAGATATCTAGAGTTATATACGAGTGTTGTGGGTTGCAAAATTGTATTTGATTCATTGATGGAACTCGTATTGCTTTATCATTCATTCCAAACGGTGATAAAGATTACATTAATCGGAAAGGATATCCATCTACAACTTGTTGATGATCAGATGATGATAAGAGACACTTTCGTTGGGTGGCCCGGCTGTGTCCACGACGCCAGAGTATACCGCAATTCACCAATTTTTAACCGTTTGGATCATGATAATGGGGTTAATCTTGCACAAGAGAAGTATTTAATTGGTATAATATACTTGTTACACTGTATTTATTTTATTAAATAATAATTATTCCAACATAGACATCTGTTTGCATTTTGGTGCATATGCATGAATTTTCATTAAAAGTTATCTTTTAGGAGATGCAGCATATCCACTTCCATCATTCATGATGACACCCTTTAGAGCTGTAGGTAATCTTTCAGATGCACAGAAGCTTTTCAATCGCAAAGTATCGTCAGTTAGACAAACAGTTGAGAGAACAATAGGTCACTTGAAGGGGCGTTTCCGCCGGTTGCATGAGCTATATTGCATGAATATTGAAGACTTTTGCTGCCTCATTACATCAGCATGTATTTTGCATAATTTGTGTGTTTTGAAGAAAGACGACATGGATGACTATCTGGAACTAAATCCAAATCAAGCAAACATAGTGAACTATTATCCCAGTATATACAGAAACGATCAACGTGGTGTTAACAAAAGAAATGCTCTTGTGCAGAGTCTTCAAAATTATTGCACGTGACATTTTCATCTCTGCAATATATTAAGAAAACTGATATTTGTAATTAGTAAAGAAGGGAAACATACACTGCAGTTTTTTTCTCTTGAACTTTAATATGTATTATGTATTAATACAAAAATACAAAACATACCACCAGTAGTAACAATATCTTTGTTGCTAAAATAAGAGAAAATTAGAATATATGTAAACAATTCATTCATAAAAAAAATTGTCAATAAACATGATAAATGGATCTCTAATTAAAGGTACAAAACCATTTCCTTTGGATTAGGATAGTCATATACAGAAAACTTGGTTCTATTTTACAAAATACCGTACAGAACCTGCATCACTTGGCAAATGCAAGATCAATACTAACCAGATGGATTTGGAATGCTGTATAATGATCTTGGATAATGCAGTAACGATGAGCGCACAGAATCGATTATGTCGTGACCAAAAGATATTTTGCCTGCATACTTATTTGATATAATGGTCCATTCCTTTTGCTCTTCTAAATTACATTCAATTGAGGCTGCTATAAATTTAAGATTTTTTTTCACAGACAGCAGACTGGTAACAAATTCTAGAATAAATGGTGTTGACCTTCTTGAACAGATAATTTCCAATGACTTTGCATTTAAAATAATTTGGTGAAGTATTAAAAAATCTATCTGAACTCCAGATAAATCAATACATTTGAGCACATGAAAATCTACAACATATACAGCAAGCATCTCCAGTGATTTCAAATGACAGATTTTTTTTATCATAATGCCCAATAACTGTCAATTTTTTCAAGCAACTCATATTCCTCAGAAAACACAAGCTGTTTCTGAGAGCACTACAGGAAATAGAAAATTTCTCAATCATTTTAAAAATGATAAACCTGGAGTATTTACTCACACCTGCAAAACAAAACTGACTTTTTCTGTCCAAAAATGATGCTATTTTCAATACAACTTCATCTGGAAGGTTAATCAATTTTCTGGAACAAAAAATAACATAATGACATTACTGAAATGCATAGACTTCCATTCACTTATTTTTTTTTCTCCAGAACATTTAACAGTTTTTCCATCATTTTCATCATGCATTTCTTTTATTTCTCTCATCCTGTTTCTCTGAAAATCAACTTGCCTTTCCTCATAGTGTTCTAACCATTCTGTGACCTCAGCTGTCTTCCTTTTTTGAACTTCTTTCCTATTTTTGGCATGTTTTTCTTCTGATCTTTGGGGCTGTTCATCAGAACTTGAACAAAATTCTGGCAATTAAGAACTTTCACCGAGACTGCCTGAAAGGCTTCCAGTTGTAAATTTTGGTCTTGTTCCTCCCCTCATTCCGTATAGTTCACTGTTTCCACTTTTATTGTTATAATCAATTGTAGCTCTGTATTCTCTTTTCAATGATTTGAACTCGTTTTCGCATTGTTTTGCTGTAACAACACATCCATCGTTTTTCAACTCTTTTGCAATTTTCTCCCAAAGTGTCTTGTGAGACCTTGCTTCAGAAAAGTCCTTCTCTAACTTTATTCTTGCATGAAATAAAAGTTCTGTGTCTTTTTTACTCCACACTTTGGGCAACTCTTTCTCACCTGCAAAATAGAGTACATGTACTTTCATAAAAGAAAACAACATTTTACTTCATAACACTTTCATATTAAAATGATATTTCCACATACATTAAGGAAGTACAAGACTGCAACAACCATAAATTAACTTTTAATAATGATATTGACCTCTTATTTACAACAAATATGAGTTTGACCTTTACAATTGAACATAGAGGAAGAATGTAATTGTTATTTAATTAACAAGCGAGATATATGGCCGAATTAAGACACACATGTGCAAGATACATATGATGCAAAACAAAAATAAAAGCAATTTCTTCAGTCTATATTCAATTGTAAATTGAATTTACTGAATATTTCAATTTGTATTGTTTCATAAAATTTTCATACATAGTATCTTACATGTGCTTGGTTCAGAATTTGATTCAGGACTTGGCATGGGTGTTTTTGGACAGCCTGCTGAAAACAGAATATTCATTTTGAAGGAAAAAGGTTGTTCAGGGAAATTTTATCCATGGTATCACAAAAAATCACTCCACATGGCATTCATTACACATGTAGAATTTATTAACTACTGTCTGCACTTTTTTGAAAGATAAATGATTTTGCCATGATTAAATGTTCTTTCATTTAAAAAAAAACATGATTAAATAAATATTATATATCAATTCCACTTACTATGAAATTCTGGACTAGATATGTTCAAAAAAAAAAAAAAAAAAAAAAAAACAGCCAGTGTCTCATTCTGTGTCTCTTCTGTAGGGCATGCTGATATAAACATAAAAATTTTAATCTGATAAAAACTTGCATGATTATAAATTGACCTATGAATTTACTTGCCTGTTCATGTACCAATAACTATGCATAAACAATAACTAAACTAGTACCTGGTAAAGGAGCTCCTGTTTCCTTTGTGTTCTTCTTGATTTCAGCCATTAATTTCATGTCTGAAAATGTTAATAATCAGATTCATTCACTGTAATTTACTGTAGTAAAATAGGATATAAAACGAGCTGGAATCATAAGTCATATTTCAACATAAATACCCCCTCATCATTCCACCCCCTAAGTTGGACAAAGAGGAAAAAGGGGCTTATTGATAATGACATTTATGATGCATGCATATATATATTTAAGCAATCTAGACAATTTTTGCAGTGAACATTGACTTATGAACTGCAATTGTTCTGTTGTCGTATTATGTTTATAATGTTCTGTTGACTGAAAAAAATCTGCATGTTTGCTTTACATTGTATTTAGCATTATATACAATTGTTTTCAATATACATTTTCCACTTACCACCTTCCTCTAGCTTAGCAACGATGGGAGCCGGTAACACTACTGTAATCTCCTCGTCCGAGTACACTAGAGTAACTTCTCTCCAATAACTATCAATGATACATAACATGCATTTTACAAATGTGTAGACAGTTACATTAGCCGAAGCGCCATTAGCTAAGCGACTCGATCAGTTCGTCGGCGACGAGCGAATCAATATTTTTTATATGCCTCCTGTTCTGAAGTACTAGCCAATATCCTTATTTACTTATTAAAATGTTAATTTATTTCTAAAATCTTAACCAAACATCTGCCTCACCTCACTTTCCCTCCCTTGTCAGCCATCTTTGTTCTTGTTCACTGTTGTAAAATTGGAGAGTGTGTTCGTGACCTAATTCTACAACACGCGCGTTGTGTTCGAGGTGTTTTATTTAGAAATCCGAATCCAGAGTTGCAACTCGTGTTTAAATCAAATACACCCTTGAATTTTGTGTTTCTTGCATAAAATGTACAATATAGTATTACTCATGAAATGTTATAATTTTAGCAAAAAGTCTATAGTAGCATTTGTATAATTTGCTCCGAAGTGCGAAAAAATAGTATTTTCCTATATAATCCTATAGTAAATGTACCTGCATTTTGAGATGGTCCCTAATAAATAACCAGACGGTAGCATGCTGAAGTCAATGTTAGGTACTTGTGGTATAAACTTAAAGAGTTTTTCTATAGTAGTTTTCACACAATAAAACCACAGTCGGCTCCCTTAAGACCTGAAACTAAATATGGAAACAAATAATAGAGAAAATGTAATTTAGTAAACGTTCGACACTCTTTTTAAGATAAATACAGTGGCCAGTTAAAGCGGGCCTCCATACAAGCTGAAATTGCTGAATTGCATCATTAAAATGTGATTTAGGTTTTCTCTTTTGCATCAAAAGATAAGGCTTTTATAATTGCGCTTATAGTAATCGTTAAAAATATGATAAATTACACGGTAAACGAAGGTAATTTGAGGACCATTTAGTAATTTAGAAATTTTATTAAAATTTTATGTTCTGACAATCTAGTTTATCTTTAAAACATCTCTTTTACTTTAACACACTTTGACAATAAAAGAAGGGATATTTATTTTAGCCTAGACTTGAGGAGAATACACCTCTGCCTCTTTGCGTATTATAGAGATACGTCTTCTCCTCCTCTTTTCATCAAGTCCTTAGATCTGTTTATTAAAGTTCATTTTCTAACCAAGCGTTTGAATTTTATTTACCCTTAAACAAACTACATGTTTATGATGCAACTTATGTTCACTCATTTCAATGTTTTTACAGAAATAAAAGACAAATTACATGATCCAGCTTTACATCAAACATCTGTCGAATCAAAATCCCGAAAGATTCTGGATATTTTACTGCCTTTGACCAGGGATCCAAACATCGAAGATGAAAACGGTGATTCCCCATTGAATCTTGCTTGTGCTTGCTTAGCCTCGAAGAATAAGGACGACATTAGAAAGTTGCTGCAAGCAGGAGCTGATCCTCTTCACAAAGGACAGGAAAATATTGATGCCTTTGAAAAATGTATTGCAACAGGTAAACATTAATTACAAAGATATGCTCTTTGTTTGGTTTAGATTAAAATTGTTCATGCACATTGCATGTCACAATCAATAGAGGCAATAAAACACAGAAAATTCATTGAATGATTTAGTTTTCCCTGATTCTTTGTTTTGTAGGAAATTTTACAGCCTTAGAAATACTGCTCCAGGAAAAGGGTTCAAATCATATTACTGATTTGCATTTTACCGCATTTTGGAATGCGTCCAAAATTCAGGATGCTAAATTATATCAAAGAGTGGCATTATTGATGCTCAGCACAAATGAAAACATTAATGTCAACATAAGAAACCGTAAAGGAGACACGCCTCTTGCTTACTTTTGTCATCAGAATGCAACTGATGTGATCAGAAAACTGGTGGAAAGAGGTGCAGATGTAAATGTTCTAACAACAAAAGGATGGAACATTTTACATTTCCTCTGTGATTCTCCAGGTTTGATGATATTTTTCATTAAGCACTATTTTAGAACTTTATTCTTTAGCTTAATTTTTTTCAGATAAATCTTTTCTTTGACCTGATCAGTCTATAATTTCTCATGCTACGGAACCTATCATCTTGATCTACAAGTTAAAATATAAAATCTTAAATTGTATCTAATTATTTTCAAAAATAATAAAATCGGGGCTCAACGTTGCATACCCACCCCTTTCCATCTATATTTCCATTACTTAATACTATTAATAGATTATTATTCATGAATAATACAGGGTTATTGAATTTATATTGGTGAATATTGGCATGAGTTTGTTGTAAAAATGCACGAGCTTGCGGGGAGTGCATTTGTATTTCAAACGAGTGCTAATATTTACGAATAAAGGTTCATTATTTCCTTACAATACCTCTTAAACATTTTCCGTTGATATACATTAATTAAATGAAATAACTCAAAATTTATAAGAAATATTCAATATCGATATTTAAAAGTGTGCAGTAAATAATAATTTTGTGTAGAAATAGACATATCTTACCAATCTGTCACTAGCTATCATAAAAATTGCTGATAAGCTGTTGACCAGACAACAATTTTTGCTTACAACGACGAGCTCAATACTGAACGTTTGCATTCGGAATGTTTCGGGGCAGAACGCGTATGCGTAATTCAAACTCAGCATTCAGTAAAACTCATAGGTATTGAATGCTAAAAATTCTGTGGTCTTTTAGTACATTTCTATTATAAACTATTTTTAGATATATAATAATAGAGGGTACTTGCATGAGCACTTCACACAAAATCATACACTGAAATAAAAAGATTTGTATCATTTTAATTTGATATAAATAAAACAAAATAAGACTCCATGTGTATTTATAGTACGGAAGCCGGTAGGTGCCAGGTAGAAAAATATTTTATCTGGCGGCCGCCAGATAAGTTTCTGGCGGCCGCCAAATAATTATCTGGCGGCCGCCAGATAAATAACTGGCGGCCGCCAGAAACCTATCTGGCGGCCGCCAGAAACTTATCTGGCGGCCGCCATATAATTTTCTGGCGGCCGCCAGATAAAAAGATCTGGCGGCCGCCAGAAAGTTATTTGGCGGCCGCCAGAAATTATCTGGCGGCCGCCAAATAATTATCTGGCGGCCGCCAGATAACTTTCTGGCGGCCGCCAGATAAATATTTGGCGGCCGCCAGATAACTTTCTGGCGGCCGCCAGATAACTTATCTGGCGGCCGCCAGAAAGTTATCTGGCGGCCGCCAAATAACTTTATGGCGGCCGCCAGATAAGTTATCTGGCGGCCGCCAGATCTTTTTATCTGGCGGCCGCCAGAAAATTATTTGGCGGCCGCCAGATAAGTTTCTGGCGGCCGCCAGTTATTTATGTGGCGGCCGCCAGATAATTATTTGGCGGCCGCCAGAAAGTTATCTGGCGGCCGCCAGATAAAATATTTTTTCTACCTGACACCAACCGGCTTCCGTATTATAGAGTACGATTCACGTATATAGTTTATCAATAACTCATTTTTTTTCAAGATGTGGAGTCGAAACTGGACACAATATCATTGATAATAAAAAGTAACCTCGATCTGGAAGTTCAGGATATATCAGGGAAAACTGTGCTTCAGAGAACAATAGAAAAGTACCGAAAATTTTACTTCAGGGATGGTTATTCCACATACAAATGCTTAAGCTCAATTATAGAACATTTGTTGAACGCAGGAGCAAAATGTAGAAAGACCGAGTTAACTTCTTTGTTACAAATGGCATGTAAACACCAACATTTTGCATTGATGAAAGCATTAGTAAAGAGAGGGGCGGATCCGTCAGTTAAAAAGTCAGAAAAGGGTATTTTGCATGACTGTTGGTTCCCTTACGACTTCTATAAAAGTAAGTGTTACTAGCTTTTTAACTTTCTTTGATTTCCATTCCTTTTGATATATCTTGTAGGAATGAACAGTTTGAAAATAACGCTTATTTTATGGCTGTGTGACTTGCTCTACTTTATTGTACATTTTGAAAACGCGTTCTCTTCGTCTTTCTTCTAGACTCTTTTTAAAAATCATTTTTAGGCTTTAAATTATTTCAGAGACATAGTAATTAAGGATATTAAGGAAACTTGAGTATTAACATCTTGTCCCACTAGGAGTAACTGAATTTTACATTTTCTTTGCTAGTTGTTATTACACCAAGTCTGTTAAAAGAATGTATCGAGTATATAGAATTCCACAAGGAGGTTGGAGGAAGTCTGACTGAAGTTTATGAAGGCTGTACGCCTCTTGATATGTACTTGAAGTCTGCGATTTACAAGAAATCGGAAAAATATAAAGAGTTGCGGGATGAAATTGATTCTCTACTTGCATGCAACGAAGAAGTTTGCGAATCTGATAGAAGACTCTCTGCAGTACATATCGCTGCCTCTACTGGACGTTTGTCCAAACTGAAAACACTGGTTGAAAAAGGGGCTAACTTGCTTTCAAAAGACAGGGATGAGAACTCATGTCTTCATCTTTGTTTGTCTTCAGGTAAGCAAAGAGATAGGTTCACTTTGTGCGTAAAATTGCCTTATAGATTCAATTCCTATAAAAAGTTTCCTCTTAGAGTCCAATCTGAAAACAAGCTTTGTAAAATTGCAATATTTTTTAATTTTTGCAGAATAAAAAGGGCTAATTGAGTACTATATTCAGCTAAGAATCAAAATATGAGTACCTTCCTTAATAAAAAAAATGTTAAAACCGTTAGAATCAGTTCTTCTATTATAAATATAATTGCATATTGTAGACCAGAGGTTGTGCTCTGTACGAAATATTAAAAAAACACCTTCACCTTTTGGCCTTTTTTGAAGAAATATTCAGGATATGGGGAAGATGACGCAATTAGTGATGTCATTAAGCATTGAATAGCGAGAAAATTACGTCATTTACAACATGTATAATTATGCAGTCACCAAGTGTCCAAATAATTGCATTGCCAATTAACAAAACTAAGCAGTTCTGATTTTTAAGAAATTTACAGCCTCAGGGCCAAAAAAGCCCTAAGTAAACCTTGCTTTCATAAAAATTTAGGGGAAAAAAACAATTTAGCATTCGAGGGTCTTGATGGGTTACATGTATTTGTATCATTAAGGCGAATTCAAAAGACAGAACTCCAATTGCAAATAACTGGAATTTGCAACTCAATTTCCAGAGCAAAGGACAAGGTATGGTAACTGCCGAATTTGGCCCCTTGTTTGATGTAAAAATCAGAACACAGTTAAAATTGCGATAGTTTGTAGTTAAGAACGTAGAATGATGCTCAATTTAAAACCAGCACTAATTTTGATTCAAAACATACACAGAGGCCACATGAGGGTGCAAAAATAGACTGACTAATTTCCCGAACTTCCTCAATTCTGCTGGAATTTCGTCAAATTCGAGATACTTTTCACTTCGGGAAACTTAGAGCACAAGCTTGCCTATCTGAGATTTTTATACACATAGATGCATCTGATACTAGTGTATGAAATATATAAATTTGTTAGATAGTCAAGCTTGTGCTCTATGTTTTCTGAAACAAAATGTGCTGCAAAATCGATGAAAATTTGCATAAAAATGAGAAAATTCGGAAGTTGACATATTTTGTGACCTCTGTGTATCCCATAACTTAGAACCAATACTCATTTTGTGGCAGGGGTGACAACAGGTTTTTATTGATAAACTGTTGCATCATTCTAAAAGACCCCCCGAACTAGGGGCCAAAAGGGGGTCTTAGCCTGTCTTGTCCTTCCTTTGCCTCTGTAATACAAAGTCACTGTTAATAATTGGATGACTATTGGAGTATACACTCTTAATTCAACAACTGAAAAGAAAAAAATGAATGATATAATTGTTCTCATTGTAATTCTTTGCGCATTTAACGAACAACGAGATTAGTCGATGTAACTTAAATATCGACTTTTCAGATACCAAAAACAATGCATATATATCTCGATCTATTAATTTATTCTTATAACACGACCATTTTGTGCATAAGGATTTCAAAAATAAAGTACCTATTACGTAAACATCTGTTTAATAAAAAGAAATGATATTTATTTTAATGTGTAGCACAATAACACAAGTCAATAGCCTATATGTAGGCTTTCAACGAACCTTCAGATAGTAAACATCTAGTTTACAAGGTGATGGTGTGCTGTCATAGGCCGGGATGGTGCAGAAATTTCAGTACGCGGTAGACTAACTAGTATTAAAAACTTCCGGTTTTCCCCTCCCACCTCCAAAATCTGAAATTGCTTCTTTATTCACATATGAATTTTAGTTATTCTGAGCCAAATCAGGTGTTTTTCTTGTAGAAAAGTGTCCGTTTGTCTGCAGCGATTCGTCCGTCGGCTATATTTATTTTCTGTTTACTTTTTATATTGTCTCGCTCTTCTCTAGAACCACTATGCCATCTTAAACCTAACTTGCCACAAAGTATCCTTGGGTAAGCGGTTCAAGTTTGTTTAGATGAAAGCCTTTCTTTACTTTAAGGGAGAGAATATTTTTAATTGTGGAAAATTGGTGGAGTCGTTTCAAAATTTTTCTGTAGAACTAGAAAAGATGAAGCAATGTGAAAGATTTTTGGCATAGAGTAGATTCAAATTTATTATGGAAGGCCTTCTGGTGTAGGATGGACCATAGTAGGAAATCAACTTTTATTAATGGGAATATAGGAAATAATGTTTCAAATCTTCTTAAGAACAGCAAGTCCATACTCCTTAAGTACATGTATTAATATTTATAAGTAGCACAAATTCAAATTTGTAAACATAAGTGTCCCTGGTTATAGGGTTGGGCCACAAAGGGGAATAAAATTTAATGTTTATATATAAATCACTATTTTAACATTGCAGTATTATTAAATGTTCATTAAAAAATATAACATTAAATTTTCTATTAATAACTTTACAATAATAACAACGTGTTAAGAATTTATTTTCAGGCGTACGCAGCATTGAAGACATGGTCAGTTACCTGCTAGAGCAGGGACTTTCACCGAACGACATGAATTCAAGCCATGAGACTCCTTTATATTTAATCCTAAAAAACGCAAAATATCACTCCGAAGATGAAGTATCGTCCATAGTTAAACTCCTGATAAATTTCGGTGGAAATCCAAGTCAAGAAAAACTTGAGAAAAATCCTTTAATTATAGCAATTGAAACATTTAATGCCAAATGTATTAATATTTTACTGAAGAATGGAGCGAAGGTGAACGATCTGCCAAGTGGATTGACCGCACTACATGTGATGTATGATTCCATTCTATCTGGCTTGGTTAAAGACCAGAAAGGTAATGTTTTTAATTTTAAAAAAGTTTATAAACACAGAAGCTTAACAGTCAATGAGATGATACTTTGTTTTTGTTATGATGTTTAGTAAATTTGATGGCAAAAATTCAAATTCACAAAACGGAAATTGGCACGTCACTTTTATATTTACTGCTGCGTGGTAGATAATGAATACATGCAATTGAATTGCAATCATTGCATTATACGGGAATAACGTTTTCAGAAATCATTGTTTGTCTGTTGAAAACGTATCAATTATACATCAGTCACATTTCATATTTGGATGTTTTACTAGAAAAAGGCATTGATGGCAAATTTACAATTAAACTTTATGATAAACGCGTGATGACTTGAACATTTATATTGTAAACTGTCCATACATTTAGCAGATGAGGATAATATCTCTCAGTTGATTCGATAGGAAGAATATGTTTTACCTACGATCAATTTCTAAATCGAAGCAGACTACTGACAAATAAAATCAATGATACAAGGATATCAGCAATCTTGTTTAAATTCTATGGTTAATATTTGTGTTTGTTAAACGTCCCTTCAAGAATTTTTCACTCATTTATATTGAGACGTTATAGAGTAGTATGGGATCTTTCTTCTGCTAGCACCTAATGTTACACGGGACCTCGGTTTATTCGGTCTCATCTGAAGGACCGATCTTCACGTCCTGCAGTGGGATCGAACTCGCGACGTAAAGATCAACCATTTACTCCGCGACTCTAAAGCAAACACTGTAACCACTGCGCCACGCGGGCAGCATCAATAAGCGTGTTTTTTTTTTAATTTATGAATATAATTTTATTTTCAGAGGACATTTTCTTTTTGCAACATTTGCTAATTACGAACCAGGTAAATTTAAATGCGAAAAATTCCTGCGGAGATAGTGTTCTTCACCTAGCTGTCAAAGTTTTGTGTAACAGGAAGAAATCTGTAGGAGCTAAACAACTGATTCAGGAGCTTGTTGAACATGGCTCAGATGTGAATGCAACCGATTGTAATGGCCAAACTGCTCTAAGTCTTTGTTGTGAATTTGGCTGCGGTGAGTTAAATCAAATTGATTGAAAATAATACGTACATGTAGCTTTATAAATTTCATTTAGCAAGGTACTACACTTGTTTGCCTACCGTTCTATAGCTAGGTATGTAAAATTATTGAGTACGTTAAAACGGCTGGCACTGTACTCAGAGTTATTTTCAGCCCGTGTTATTTTTGCCTCTTCACAATTGCTCACAATTTTGCCCCATTTTCAATTCGCCCAGTGAAGCCAGTGACAGTTCTGTTTATGAAATTATACAGTCTTGTTTGAATTCGCCCCGTCTTAAATTCGCTCACTTGTGTCTAGGGTCTTGAAGCAAAAATAAAGCAGAGGCAAAAATTTCCCTATGTACTGTATTTATCATCATTAAGTTGTTAATTTAGTCAGAAATTCTAGATTTCATAATAAAAATTGTAATATGTCAGTATACAAAATCTTTCATTTAGATATTGAATGTATTGCTGTTTGCAAATACTTTCTTGAAAATGGAGCGGATCCAAATAAAGGATGTGCCTTGAATCGTGCATTCAGTCACGTACAATGTGGAACAAAAGAAGAAGCAAAGGAGTTAATTTTTCGACTCCTATCACATGGAGCAAACCCCAATGACGAAACAGAATTTAGTCACAAACCAAATCTCATAGTGGCAATCAACATGGGAGAGGCTGACTTGGTTAGAGCGTTGTTGGAAAGTGGTGCTCACCCAAATACCTGTCATAATTCTGGAACCAGTCTTTTGCATGCATGCAATTTAAGTAAAGTATCTTAAATTGAATTTCTCATTAAAATATCTGCGTGAGGTTAAAATTCTTATCTGCGAAGGAATGAATTGAACTATTTTTTTTTAACTAATTCTTATTTGTTCAATGAGAAAATAATTTTTCTAAGAAGTAGTAAAGAATGGAATGGATTTAATTCAAATTTCTTCTCTAGAACCAATTATAAGAAATTAAATTTTTTTCTTCTTAGATTTTGTTTAAATCGTAGGTATGAATACTTATTTTTAACCTTGTTTTATAAAATCTTACAGAGAATAGTCGCATTCACTGAATTTTTTTTTTCTCCTTTATTTCTAGCGAAACATTTTTTTCTTCATCAATCCATAAACACAATCAACTATAAACTTGCAAGTATTATAAATATAAACCTGGTGTTTAAAACCATCTGTATGAGTGTTTTCTTCAAAAGTGGATTCCTCCATCAATATAACATACGGATAAAAAAAAATTCACCTACAACAGTTAATCCCCATATAAACAAAGAAGGCATTTTATTGATTAAAACATCAATTTGCAAAAATTATTAAAAGAAAAAAAATGAAAATAACGAAGAATAAATCTTCAGTTTCTAAAAAGTATATGGAGGCATGCTCATATAGCGAGAAATACATTGTTCATATTACAGACTCGGAGTAATAATGTTTGAAAACGAAGAAAATATCAATAGTATAATTTGTCAACATAAATAATCGAGCACAAAATTATAATTCTTTCAAATTTACTTCAAAAATTTTTGTTCCCTCGACGCTGATTTAAGTCTGAAGTATAGGCTACATCACTTATATGTGTTCTTATTACAGCATAATTATATAGAGTTGATAAAATGGGCAACCTTTGGTTTAAACGATTTATGATTCTCGCACGTGTCTTGCTCTTTTTCTATTGTACAATGTAATGATTAAGCCATTTAATATATTCTCGCTTTGTTTAGGTTTCCATAGTGCTAAAGAGGTAGTACCACTCCTTCTCCAGTATGGTTGTAGTATCAACATGGGACAACATGGTAAACCGTATACATCTTACAGACAACATCCACTCTTCAGCATTGTCGACAAAATGACAAAAAATCACGAATATATAGATATTTCAGAGGACAAAATCGTTGAAAAGGTTGACTTACGAATGTTTAATCTTCTTCTTTGTGGGGGTTGTGATTTATCTGTTCTTTTGCGTCCTTGGTAAGTATCAATGTGTCCTGATTATTCACTTGTATTTCTAATAAAAATGTATGGTTTAATTTAACTGAAATTATTTAATGCTGATAGTCTATAATAAAGAAATAATAGAGATATAAATTTGTCAGTTGTATAATTGAAAAAAAAAATAAGAAGAAAAATAAAGGGAAATTAAAATAATTTTTTCAGTAATAAAGGAAAATCAATTCTTGCCTCATTGACAAAGGCTGGATATTTTAAAGCCGCTGAGACTTTAATAAGGTGTGGATACAACTTCGAAGATGATATAAAATTCCGAAGCATCAACTTTTCGGAACTTGACATTTCAACTTTACACTCAAAGCGCGGAATGTACCATCAAGACATATACCATCGAGCCAACTATGAGAGTGAAGTAGAAAATTTTCAAGAAATGTTGAAAAGAATTAAAGAACCACAAGTGACATTGCAATCTCTTTGCAGGAAAGCTATACGACGGCATTTAGTATTCGTTCATAATGGCTCCGAGATAGAAACAATCATCAGAGCTTTGCCCCTGCCAGAGGTATTAAAGAATTATCTCACTCACAGGGATTATACACAAGATTTTGAGAATATTGAATTCTACAGAGAACCATGGTAATCTGGTCATTTAAGGAGACCAACTTGGTTTTTTGCATAAAATCTACAATACAGAAATGCAGTTTTAGAAAGAGGTATACTGGTATATATATCATCCGGGTATTTTTTTAAAATACATGTACATTAACCAAAGGACAATAACGAAAGCACACAAAAGTCTACCGCCTGAATTTCAAAGGAGGCATCTCAAACATCTCAAAATTAATGAAATTTCCTTGTTATATATTTATTTTGAACCCAGTTTTAGACTTCTGTGGAAATGCTAAATATTTCAAATGCTAGAGGAAATCAGTAAAATGATTCTGAAAACTAGAATGTAAGATATGATAAACTCATTTCATATATAAAGGTTTATTTTGTGTAAAGCACATAATTACAGTGTATTTGTAAAAATACATTTCTTTCTTTTTCTTTCTTCCCTATCATTTTTAAACGTATATTGAATAAGTGTTTTGAATACTTAGGGTGCAAGTTTCAGATTGACTGTGCACAGGCATCGTCCTTTGGCCACCTTTTTTACACCATATAATGGTACAATGCTATTATTATTAGTAGTAGTAGTATTTCTTCTTCCTTGTATTTTTTTTTACCGCTTCGATATTCTTGGCCCAGTTTCAGACAACTCTGGAAATATTAAATATTATATTTACACAAATATCATAAATGTGGTTTTGTGCATCTTTTATTACTCCATTCTAGGAATGATTTATATTTATAATATGCTTAAATTTGATCATAATGATTTAATTGTAAATGTCCCCTTTGGGCCTTTGAGTGTTGAAAAAAAATTACAAACATATATATTTGATAAAAACCATATTCAGTAATTGACAATCAATCCTAAAAAGTCGTTCAAAAGTTTTGCTGAATAAAGTCTTTTGCTCTTTAGTAAATTTGCATTTAGCTGCTGGTTTACACCCCCTTTTTGTTACTGCAAGGTCGAACACTCGCAAATTCCAGGGTTTGAACAAAAAATGTACCAAAAAGTAAGGCTTTTCCCTCCCTACACACATACCCATACTGACTGCCGTGAACAATTATTTTTTTTTTAAATAGAACAATTTTAATTGGATCTGGAGGTAGTACATTTGCGGTCTGGGGGATTTTCGAGGGGAAACCTTCTCTTCGAGACCGTTTGAAAACTCTTTAAAAATAATGTTTGATTGCCCTCTCCCGACCGACTTGCTAAAAATAGCCCGACTTAAGTTTTTAACCTCCAGGAAACAGTTATCTCTTTTATGCATTTTGGAAAAAAGATTTTGAAAATTCAGCAGTGTTTTTGAAATTTTCTGAAGGAAAAAATATCTAACCTATCTACCGACCCAATTTTTTTTTTATCCTGGGTCGAGAGAGGTAAAAGTTTTTCTAAAAATACTATAACAAACATTTTATTTAAAAATAAAATCCTATCCAACTGTATATAAAGGAAACGGTGAAATAAGAATTTGAAGGGGGGGGGGGGGTGTTTGTTTTTGGTAATTGATGGTATGAATCAGATACCGAATTTTTAAAAATAAAACTTTTTACACAGTCATGTCTGCATGTAAAATTACACAAATCGTTTTCTCTACATGCTTTAATTACATTTTTATTATTTACATATATTACATAAATAAAACAAATACATCAACGTCTTTGGAACTCTGCAAAGAAATTAATAAAAAACATTATTAGATTTTTTTACGATAACATCAGTTTTGTATCATAATTCCGAGATTTACAGGAAAATCATACCTGACTGTCTTATTCCAATGATCGAGAACCCAGAACCTCGGATGCTCCGCCCCTGATGGATTGTAGAGACCCAATCAGCGCAGGCGCGGCAATGCTCAGAACAACAACTTTGAAATAATGCAGAAATTGATTGAAAAAAATGTTTTTGATCATATAAGTTAAACATGTATAGTGTAAGAATTGCTGTCAAATCAGTTTTGTGAAACTATACGGCCCATGATAAACCAAAAAAAAGTTAGATTTATATTTTTAATCATAACTTAATTCATGGGTTTTCAGTTTTTCTAATAAGCGTATATATTGGAAGGATTGACTGATGCTTACAAATGAGAATGATGGGGAGGAGTCCTCCGAGGTCACTTTGGAGTCCCCCTAGGAATCCACCGGTCCCTCCGGTTCCGACGTACCCATAGGCAGGTGGAACTGGAGCGTAGTACATTTGGGGTCTGACGTAATTATAAGCCAAGTGTTCCCTTGAGTAACCATCAGCAGCAACAGATACAGCACAGCCAATCAGGACAAGCAGACAGACGGACAAAGCCATTGTTCTCTGATACAATGAAATAGTCAAGATGATATTTTTTAGATTAACAAAATTTCACTGGCAAATATGAGCATGAATTTGAGTTGATAAATTGTATAACTATTATTGAGGGTATTTTAGTGCTTGCAATAAATAACCAATAAGGGATACTTTATTTAATTAAAAATTTAGTTTTAAAATCATTTTTTCTAATAGTGAAATTGTTTTTAAAGTTTGTTTGAATGTGTAAATTAAATCTTTTTTCGTCAAAATTAGGATTAACCTATATTTAACGATACAATTTTTTAATTATCCGCTATAGTTGAGCTTTTAGAGTTAAAAAAAAATTAATTTATGTACATTTGCCGCGGTGCTCTTTAAAATATTCTTGAATTAAATTAAATCAATTCATTTGAAGTCATGCATATTAACATCAAACATTTTTAAGTTTATTTCACTTAACTCATTTTTTTTTTTTTTTTTTTTTTTTTTTTGGCTTTCAAAAATATACTAACTATGTTTGCATAAAAAGTACGTGTACAGATATATTCCTACTCTCACAATATTTGACTATGATTCCCTGAATGAACTGAAACATAAAATCTCCTGACCTCTCACGCCCTCTCCTTTTTCAAATGGTAGATAGTGGTAAATAAACTTTATTGTTGTTAACAGCAGTTTTATATTTATGAGACTTAGCAGTTAACATTTTACACGTATGTTTGCACAAAGTTTTTTTTCCATAATAAAAATATCTCTTTTCCATTTCTAACATGTCTTGTAAACTTACCTAATGTGTAGGTTTTGGAATTTGATTGTGGGAAAATAAACAGATATTGTGCTTTTTATATCATTTTTATTTCCGACGAAAATAATGTACCTGTCCAATAAGAGGCTATCCTAGTACTCCATTTGCCGTCATATGCCCTCGGGAATCCCTGGCGGGTAGATACACCTAGACTATAGAATCTGGTGCAAGTCATATTTCATTGACACACTCATACCTCACTCAGTTCACAGCGTTCATATCTAGAGATAAAAAAATGTTTATAATTTCATAATTGCATATTGATGTATTTCACAATTTTACAAATGATGTAAGTAATACATGTAACAATGTATTCATTTGTACATGTATATATATGGGAATAGATGAAGGGCATGGATTTTTACTCATGTATAATATGTTTTATTTTGTGTGAATCAATGAAGTACAATGTATGAACCACTCGTACAAGTATACTTGAATTCAAAAAATGTTATAATTTTTGGGAAGTGAATTTGGGATTGACAGTTATGTTAATGTATTTTATTTTTTGTGGTTGGGTAGGGGTATGGTAAAATCAGTGGTGGTGAATTATTTTTACGGAGTTGTCACAGACTAATCAGCTTTAAGCAGATTTGGACAAATTAAAGTGCGATGAGGTGCAATTACAATGTGAAATACAACTTGTAGTCGATGGTCACTTTTCTTGATTTTGACGAATAGAGCATGGTATTGAAAAATTTAAAGGGAAAAAAGCATAGAATTTGACCATGATTTCTGAGTTACAGGTATATACGTGAGAGAGAGAGAGAGAGCAGCGCCGGATGTTATTTACATAATGAGTAACCTTTCCTGGGTGTGTTATTTTGCTCAGCTAACAAAATGCACAATGAAAAAGTTAGTGTTTTCCATCCCTGGTGAATGACACAGACTTTTCATGTTATTATAATTGTTTTGGAATTTGTATCAAAGGTATTATATTCCCTGCTCTAAAAAATCAGGAAATCCTAGGAGGATGTAGATAAAGATTAATAATATAAGGAAACCAAAACACTATATACATTTATGTCTCGTTTAAAGTCATCATTTCATAAGTTCTATGGTCGATACAATGACCTTGTCAGCAAATACAATCTATCATTAAGTCAAATGTTGACTAACTCATACTAATTGTTAGGCCGTTATTTATACACTGAATTGTCGACGGACTTTTCCGTTATTTCCCGATCATGACAAAGAGCACACGGCGGGTGTGACTGGTCGGCAGGGGATGCTCACTCCTCCATGGCACCTAATCCCACCTCTGATGTCTTAGAGATCCGTGTTTGATCTGCTCCTATTTTGTAATGTTTAATAGACTTTTGAGCTCGAATACTGTTCGTTATCTCCACATATTTCATAAAAATGTAAACCATCCTGTTAGATGAAATACAATTTTGTCATCCAGTTGACTGGTGTGTAAATATAAAATGCTAAAGCGACAAAGGAGAATAACTAGACCTAATATTTTATAATTAAAGATTTACATTTATAATGATTTATAATGAATTGCTAAAAGCTTCAATTTGACTTAATTTAGCAACAGCATAGTATTCACAAATTTGCATTTTGGCGCAAGCTTGAGCTTGTGTTACATCTCCTTTATTTTTATACCGATTGAAAGGAACAAAAAATGCGTTTTTTGGATGAAAAAAATAAAGGTTATGAACAGTGATTAACCTCACTTATCTTCTAAACAATACAAATCGTGAAAGGGCAAAACCCAAAAAACATCAGCAGGTGCCAAGAAGGAGTAAACGTCCCCTGATGACAAATGTCCCCTTGACAACCGCCTTGATCATGCATTTTGTACAGTGTATTGATCAATCCCTAGTTAGAATTAGTATTAAAACAACGACTTAACAATTGTATGAAACATGTCTGTCAAAGTTTCCACTTAAGAATTTCCAAACAATATCATTATACAATCATATAAAATTTACAATCTTTCATGATTAATGAAATATTTGAAAAAGTCTGTAACATCAATTTATTTTTCAGTAGTCTGTCTTGGTTATAAACCGATTTCACTCAAAAGAGGGTGTTGCAGAAACTCGCGATTATTCCCTACATCGAAAAGGACATTTTTAAGGAGGGATTCTTCTCATAAGAACACTTATTTCTTATATTTAAAAATCAATGAAATTTTTACAGAATCAAGAAGACAATGTCACTAAGTGATGGTATCAGTTAGATCAAGTTAGGCAAGGTCAGGTCAATGTCAGTACCTTTTCCCTGGACATT